TCACGTAGAATGGAAATAATAAAATAATACAAATAAAACATAATAAAATAATCTCACGACGTTTCGGCCACAACGCAAGCAGCCGTCCTCAGGTGAAGACCAGGTCTGTCGAGAAGACAGAGTCTGAATGACAACCCCAGGCTTGGAGCTCCAAGAAGATATTTTAAAACGTTTAATAAATTGTTATTATTCGATTTGCAGAACACAGAGGCTAGAGAGAAGTGCACCTTGCTGGAGGATGCTTTGGCCCAGCTGAGCCAAACCACCTACTCGTTGGCACAGCTCACAACGCGTCCGCTGCCGCCGGGCGTCGACCCCCTCAAGCTGGAGAGATATCTGACTGATGTCGATTTCCAGGTCCGTGTCTGCACAATTTACATTACACTTCTACGTGATGTTTTAGATTTGAGGTTTCCGCAGCGTTGAATAAAGTTAATATTTCACCCTTTAATCGGTTACGATGATGACGCTTGTGACTTCATCGCCAGTAATTTCTTAAGTCGTCCTCTTTCTACCGGTAAATCTGTAGATCTCAAAGGCACACAATATAGACACCAGGTGGAAAGTGGGCGAATTATGCAACTACTAGTGATGAATTCACACGTACAGTCATACTGGAATAAAATAAAAATGTCAATTTTATATTTTATTGTTACATTTATATACGTGGTGTGAATATGTTGTTTGCTGATAATGTATTTTCAGTCGGTGCTCAACATGTCAAGGGAAGAGTATCACGCAATACCACTGTGGAAGCAAGCCACTCTGAAGAAGGAGGTTGGGTTGTTTTAAACTAATGTCAGGGATGAGTGGTGCAACTGTGATATTGTCTGATATGATAATCATATTTAAATGTTCTTGCATTAAGAGCTCAGAGATAGAAGCATCCGTGTAATGGACATCCCAGCTCTGCTTTGACTTGGGAAATTGGCCCATTTACAAGATGTAGTTTGGCGAGAAGTTTTTATTATGCTGCTCAAAGAACACAAAATGGGCAATGTTAAAGGGATTACTAAAACCCAGTTTTTATTATTAAGTACTAAAGACTGTTGAAAATAATTTTTCATATATTTTTTTCTAAATTGTAGTTCACTTAAAGTGAAAATGTTCAGATCATGTCATACTGAGGTTCAGTGTTGAACTTAATAGGTGAGAATTGACTTTTTGGATTTAGAAAATGCCAATTGCTTTGCAGAGCGATACTCCTGTGGGCATGCTACATGCTGAGTTTGGACACGAGACCATTTTCCTGAGGCAGTCCATTTTCTGTGCAATTTACTTTTGGATTTTTTTTATCACAATGTGACAATTTGAGATGTTCTTTTTCCTAGAGCACATAGAATGCACAGCTCGTTTTATCGTGCCCATTACTGTTGGGAAAACCATGACATGGAAAGGGCCTACCGCTGTTTTGATATTACAAGCAATTGTACATGTTATTTGTCAACATTTTGAAAATGCATTGTTTTACATAATTACATTTTTCAACACTAAATGCTACTTGGAATAACAGCCACTGCCACTGACTTGTCTATTATAAGCACTTTTGTTAATCCTCATATGTCCTTGTTTACTGACTCAATGTTTAAAATCAGAGGAAATGTCCACTTTAAATGGTGTATAAAGGACTCATTCAGTTTAACTAATGATGTTTGGCCACTGGTTACTGCTTTAAGATGTATCCGTGTAACCATTTTATTCTTTTAATGTCATTATTTTAGGTTTATAATCAGTTAAGCTATTATAAACCATATAATAAATGTTTGCCTGAAATTTGAGACATCTATGGATGAAAGAGGCTGAGTAAAGTGTGCCCATCTCTAAAATCTTTAAATACCAGTCATTTGTGTTGTCTGTTGTACACAGTTTTTACAGCCAAATGAAATGTTCTTTAGAATTTTCTAAAAAATAACGGCAGTGTTTTACATTACTAATTACAGTCATGGTAAAATGTTCAAGTGTACTGGAAAATATTTAAAATTGGAATGATTTTGGATTTTTATTAAGCTTTAGTTTTTATAAGAAAGTATTAACATAACAATACGTGGCACTTTAAGATGCCTTCAGAAGATCTTAAACGAAAGCCTACCAAGTAGAACCTATGCAATGCTGTTTTTATTGGACTGAACTAAGGCTTCTGACTTTACTATTATGTAGTGCCTTTCTTCAATTGGCGCAAATTTAGTAGACTTCACATCCTTTCGACTAATGTTATATTTACTGTTTTATTGTTATATACAAATCTGTAATGATTTTAATCTGTCCATATAAATGTAATGTCTTTTACTCTCTAGGTATGTATTTTAGAATTAAGGCTAAAGCTTTTGGCACGACTGAGTAACGATGTCTTTGTTTAAATACTTCCAGTGTGAATATCACAAGTGGAATTGCAACGTTGGTTTTTGTTTCATCGATACAACAAAGTTTAATAAATTGTTCTCGTCTTTCGTGGTGTAATTCATTTCTATTCTTGGGTTTTTTCGGTAAAGTCGCGTAGGTAAAAAATTAAAATTAAAATCACGACGTTTCGGAGGCAACACAAGCCTCCGTCTTCAGGTGGAACCGTCACAGCACGCTCGCTGTATCAAGTAAATGAGAAATTCCAAGAGATCTGACCCCATATATATAATGGTTGAGGGGGGAGGAGCCAGGGCAGTCCCTTGGATAGGAGTTTTTTTATTGTAAGGTTGGTGCGGCTGAAGCTACGGCTAATCTACATAACAAAGGACTGAGCCTTTGTTATGTTGACTGGCTGAGAGGGGGGGGGGGGGGTGCGAGAGTTGTTAAAGTGCGGCTGCAGCTAATGGGACCGAGCCTCTGCCATGTAGATGGTAAAAGCAAAAAAAAGGCAGGTCAGGAAGAAACAGCCTTCTGCTATGTTGCTTGGTGGGTAAAACTTAAAGCAGGAAACCAGCGTGTGAAAAAAGAAGCTAAACATGATAAAACAAAACTGGCTGTCTATCAGTAAATTGTACAGTAACTAAAGAACAGTTGTCTGTCAAATAAGATGGTCCAAATATGTGTAGTTAAATCTTTTTTGCATGGTTAATAACATCTTTCCAATGATTACTTAGCTTGTACCCATCATCACGGTTGAAATTGTCTGTATTTTTGTATATTTGGATGGCTTCGTGTACAAATCTTTGATGGTAGCCATTTCTCTTTTTAATCATGATTTTGGCATGACTGAACATTACCAATGCAAATAATGGATCCCCAAAAGGTATAGAATAACTATAACCATCTTTACAGGATTAAACAAGTTGGAAGTTCTGGGGGTTATTGATTCTGAGGACTTTTTTTATTGCCGTATAGCACTGACATTTTAAATGTAACTAAAATTAGAGGTATCCCTGTTATGACTGGACAGAATTTCCACATTCAAATTTTAAACAAGTAACATTGTGAAAAGTGGCAAAGCACTTCTTTTAAACAATATGTCATTGATGTGCTCACTCGCGTATATGTTAACAAGCTGGAAAGCCAATCCAATAAGGGAGCATATATTTTTTTTCAAGGGGAAAATGTAGAACACCTCTCCAAATATAGCAAAAGGTGCCTAAGTCTGGCGAATGGTTACCCGGTCTGATTATTTGAACATCAAGCATGAATACTGAACAGCTAATTTATGAAGCATTAGGAATTTGTGGTCATCCACTGCTGGATGAAGAACCTCCCCAAGACATTTCCATAGCTCACGGTCCTGAGATGTGACATTTCACCTAGCCACTTGCATGTGGGCTGATGCCATCGCTTCGTCTCTGGTGAACGTGTTCTCTTCTTCATAATAAAGCCGACGTGTGTTCTCTTCTCACGTTTTCTCCTTTAGCAGCCGCTATCTTTAGTGTCGACCAATGGCCGTCATTCATTCGTGCAACGTATCCCACCAAAGCCCACTTTTGTTACATTTAAATGATGTTAACACATTCCTGCGGAGGGAGCTGCTAGGAACGTTGGGTTGCTCGGTCAATGGCCAGGGTCAACGGCGGCGTGGTGTATTCCGCAAATATGGCCGACTGTGAGGGTGGGCACAAGCCGGCGTGAGTAGGTTAAACGTTGAGTTTTATAAGGGCACCACGGGGTGACCAGCCCCTCCCCACCCAGCCCCTCTCCACCCAGTCCCTCTCCACCCAGCCCCACCCCTCCCATTTTTTGATTCACGATGGACGGACACAATAATCCCCTGTGGGCTGGTGGAACCAGGTGGTTCCTACCAGTATTAACTTTTGTGTATTCTTCAATCCATCTGTTCCTCTTTTTGCCTCTGGGTGTAATTCCACACATGCATCTCTCCCATGCTTCTTTGTACACTTCAGTTTGTTCCATCTTCATGAGTGTCCATGTGTTTTTTTTATCTACGTAACAATGGGTAATCTATATTGATTAAAAACGTTGCCTTTCACCTGTTAAGTTCTGCTTTCCAAAAGCACTCGAACCCACTGTTCACCTTATTTCATCACAGTTGACCTCAGTCCAGCTTCAATAACTGGCCTCGGAACGCACATTGGGAGGTGTTTCCAGTTGCCTCGCGCACCACACCTCCAACCGCCCCTGGGCATAGAAAATGTGGGGTCCAACTTTGAATCTGATGACCAATCAGAGTTAACATTGCACATCTACACCAGGTATCCATAGAGAATCGTTGCAGACAGGCCACCCGACTGGACTAATTGGGGGGTAGAGGCTTTCTGGTGACGAGGCTTTTCTGGCATATTTCAAAAAATCTAATAATTTATACCTTATACTGCTCTTGTCAGACCCAAATGTTCTGTGTTGGAGTGATCACATTTCTGTGATTGGAAAAAATATATTGGAAACCCGTTTTAAAAAGGTATATTCCAAATATTTTCACCCATTATCTAAACAATATATATTCACACTTTGTAAACATTTTATATTTTAACACAATATTTGAAGAAAAACATTGGAAACTTCCACACAATAACCACAACCATCAAACTATCTCATGTGGAGTAACCATGTAATTATTTGTTCTAGGACTAAATATGCTTGAAAATCACTTTTATTGAATCGGCATACAAATTTAACATTAATGTTTAAGTTATGATACAACTTGTATCATTATAGCACAATACATTGCATAGACAAGTCACAGAATTATAACGATGGCAGATACCAGGGGCTTTACAGAACAATGCAGTTGAGACCTATGAGCCCTGACGGTGAGCTATGAGCACAGTAGTGTGGCATACAGACATTGCATTGTACACTGTGTGTGGGGACAAAGGCACTAATACTAACGTTCATAATAGAGGTTTGTTTGGGTTAGATCGCGTAAATATATAAATGTGTCGTTAAACCCGCCACCACCCGACAGCCAACTAGTAAGGGTTGTCACGTAAATATAACATGCCAATTCGTCACTAGTACAGCACACCAGTGTGTTGGAGAGCCAAGCCACAACATTTACAATCCGAGTACGACGTTTCGCCAGTAATTACAACTAGCTTCATCAGGCGACAGCCAGATTTGTGGAGAAGTCCACCTGTTTCGTTCCTCATATAGAGGCGTAGATGTGGTGACCACGCTTCTGCTCTCGTGCGCAAAGTTGGGTGGGGGGGATTAATGAGTCAACGTACATTATGCATGTGCATTATGCGAGCCCTTTGATCTTGTCCTTCCTGTCCATTGTGTGTATTAAAATAGCCGTACCAACAGTAATCCCTATTGAAGTATCGTGCCCTGTATAAGCATGCATTTAAACAATGTATTATTTGATGATTCGCTTCCACGAAGCAATAAGTCGGTGGCTATCCGAACGGTTAAAATTATTTTTATTTCTTTCAATTTCGATAGATTCCCGAGTCTTGGCCAGTAGTAGCTAGTTTTGCACAGAACTTCAACATCAAAATCAATAGTGTCCTTGTTGGCACGTGTTACGACCAAGTCCGCTGTCCATTCAAAACTCACTTTACGCAACCCAGGAACCAGCACAGACGGGTAAACACATTGAAATGTATGTTTCATTTCTTAAAAAAAAACCATGGGATGCATGTGGAAATCGCCGTGTAGCAAAACCAATCCAGTTTAGCTTTACTTCTGGTATTTTACCATCATCTCTGATGCAAAATTAAATTTATCAAGTTTGTCTTCAAATTCTGTAAGTAAATCTATGCAATGATAACAGAAAACGTCTTTTCCCCCACTAGTGTTCAACAACTTCCACGATAGTTGTGCATGCTTCCTCACAACAACAGTCACGTGACTGTCATTCGACCACACTTTATTCTTGTACAATGTAAAAAGAACATTAAATTGCGCATTTACTTCATCAGTGTGTGAGAAGTATGGTTTCATGACTTGCTTAACTTGAAATCGGCTAATTTTTGCAAACTTGTCTTTCCTCCTAATATATACAGTACTGGCAGACCGATAGTTGTAAAGTGCAACTTATTCATGTTTAATTGTAAAAACATGTTTTCTTTCTTGCTTTGAAGCCAGACAGATTGTCAGAACATTTATGAAGTGGGGTACTGAGCCAAAATGTTCATATTTCATGTTTAACATTTACCTTTGGTCATTTCAAAAAAGATTAACCCAGTTTACAAAGTCAGAGATGGATCGCATCCCTTGAATGCTGTATGTAAAATTGTATCTTTTAAGTCAAATATAAAATATATCACATGCATATGAAGCAGCTGTATCAAAACATTTACTGAAAAAGATCAACCGTATTCCTAGAAATATCATATAGTGATCGCTCGCACATTCTTAGATGTCTTTGGAAATTGTAAAAATATAGAAAATGTTACAAAAAGAAACAGACCTATACATTTTCTAATTGGCTTTCTCCTCATTTTTTGACACGATGTGCTTGTAAATTAAAACAATTGCAATTAGAAAATATATCCCTTGCATTCAGACACCGGATAAAAACTGCATCATCTTGAACCTGTTTGTTAACGGTGGCATTGCAAAAAAAGCTTCATATTATGATGGTGAGTTTTCAACAAGGTTTTCCTGTTTTAATGATAAAACAGGATTTGATCCCATTTTTTTTAACGATATACCCTGTATCTTATTATTTAAGTGATGTAGGAACGCTGTTTAGCCTTGAGAATATTGTGACAATCACTGGATCAGTGCAGGGAGTCAACGGTTAATTTCTATTTCTATAACCTCACCGAAGGATGCCTTCCTAATGCTGTATTGATTAAAACACGATGGAACCAGTTCATGGAGCTATTATTGGCAGAATAGTTGTTTTTGTGGAAAGTCAGCCACATTCCAAATTTTGCAATTCATTCGGGGCAAATTCCCCATTTTAAAAAGCCCATTACGCTACTGCACAAACCACAATTGCAGAATGAGCCAACGTTGGCGGAAACGTTTTTCCATCGCACAGAATCCCGACAATTGCACCCTGGGGGGATGAAGCTCGTGCAACGAACGTGGACGTGAAAATTGGTGTACTTGTCAATCCACTGCTGGATAAGGGCCTCCCGTTGGTCATACGGATCAGGAGGTTATTTTTGCCATACTTAAATGCTGGTCTGTGTGGCTTGAAGACTGAGCATAAACATGACAGCATGCTGTGGATTTTTATGCACTGCCCACTGCTGCCAACATTGCATTGTCATTTCATGTGCCTGATGCCTCCATTGTGCAAAAATATTTTCAGAAGTACCGGGATAATTTGAGCACATTTTCGTTCCTCTCGAATTGTACGGGAAATGCCATGGACATTCAGAAACGCAAGTTATAAAAGTCATAGAAATTATAATTGGCTTTGTTATCATGTTGATCATCACAATTATTGCTATCAAATTATTTTTGTTCATCATTATTATCATCATATTCAACATTGCCTTCAGTTTCTTTTAACGCTTCCATTGGATTTGCGCTGCTATTCTGCTCCTTGGTGGAGGAGAGATGAAGCCTTGATTGGTTGACTCGGGCCACCGGCTGGATAGTGTGCTGATGGCAGCAAGCACGGCCTTGATTCTCCTTCAGCACTCCCTCCAGCTACCGATTGGCGGTGGATTTTATGGGGGAATGGAATTCCATCCATTCTGCCTGGTGAATTGAGCCAAAACCTTACACATGAATTTGGTGCAATATCCAAATCGTACAGGAATTGAGACAGCATGGGACAAATTTCTAAAAAGAAACCACGAAGGCCCTTTGTCGTGATCGAAAGGTTACATTTGAGAATAACCCTATACTACAAAATAGAATAAAAATCATCTTCCCTGGTAAAGTAATGATCAAGCTAGAACACGCAATAAAATGTAACTGAAATTATGCATTGCATTTCTGCAGACAGAATTGTTTAAACACTGTTTAATTGATCATTCAACGTAATTAATGATCACCTAGTATTTAAGGTTTATCTCATGTTCCATTTCTTTTAATCAATCGCATAAAAAAAACTACGAAGTTAAAAACCTATGAAAAGCTTGGCTCTTACCAAATGTAATCACAATAGGCAGGGCACATTATAGGTGAAACGTGGATGAGTAAACAATGGGAAATTAATTAGTTGTGTTAAATTATGGACATTCTAGATTTGAAGCTTTCGTGACTGCAAGGATTCATACTCTTAGGTTTTTTCGGTAAAGTCACGTAGGTGAAAATAAATAATAAATAATGAAATTTATCATTTTATTTCTATTATAGTAATTTTATTTCTATAATTATTTCTATTTTTATTATTTATTTTTGCCTACGTGACTTTACCGAAAAAACCTAAGAGTATAAATTATGGACACTAAAATGCACTTCTTTAACCTGTATATTTTCATACCTCTAGAAGATAACACATCGTAACTTTACGATGGTGAAATGTAAAAATGTACCATTTACTTGATCTTTAACAATTATTTTCGATAGCATAAGACATGATTTTGCCTTTTAAAATGTACGCTGTCCTATTCGGTGATAAAAAAATATATACTTCCAGTCCTATTACAGCTGTCGCTGTTAACAAGCAGAGCACAAGTAATAAAGGAAACGACAACAAAGACGATCATTCACTGAGCTAATCCATAGCTTCGTTGACTTCGATTTCACTCACCAGGAGATTTCTATCACTACCGCTTCCCTCTAGAGCCCGGCTACCGCCACCTCCACGTGTATATAGTGCATTCTGGAAAGTGGAACAGCCCTGTGGTCCCCTCGTGCCAGGACTGTCACTGGCGCAGTCTCCACGGAGCCTGCGGGCTTCGTTGCGGCGGCGTCGCCGACTGCGGTATATCCAGCAGATGAGCAAGAAAGCCCCAACCACGCCCAACAACATGAGGACAAGGCCCAAGACATCCAGAAGAAAGCCGTACGTCTTGACTGTTTTGGAGAAACACGCACACACAAACGCACATACATGGTTTGCTTTGCATTTCCGTTTCAATGTACGTACATATCTTCCCATGTACCTTCATATATGTGTATACCTTCGCATGTTTGAACTAATACTACAGTATATAGTATATTAATGCTGCTCTAAGATCCAAAATAAAATAGCCTGGCAATGGGCATGATGCCTGAGAGAATAAAGGGCATCCGCCACAGTTTGTGCACTTCCCATCGACTGTACCAAAGGCTTCCTACATGCCCAGTTGGTAATGCTCAGGACCACCAGATTGCATTCTGGAAATTAAGATGCATATAGACATTGTTTTGCTTTGAGGCATTACATGCATGCAACCACAAAACATGAATTAATCCAAAAAGGTATGAAACAGAATCCTTTCAAGACAATAGCATAACTCTAATTCATGCACAACAGTGAATTTGTATTTTAGTAGACAACGAAAAAATAATATTTTCAAAGCAATGATCCAATATTGTTTTTGTATACAGCTGCTGGACAAGTGCTTTCACGGTACAGAAGTCATGCTTTCTAAAGTGTGACACATTTACATAATAAAAATGAGGGTTCTTTTGATGACTCATCAATCTACTGCTGGATGAAAGGCTACCCAAGTAGCTGCTTACCCTCACAGTCCCACAATGCAACAATGCACCCAGAATGGCATTGCCCCATCTCCATCGTGGACGTGTTCTTGGGCGTCTTCCCTCCTTTGCCTCCTGCTCAGTAATTATCCTTGCCCATTAGCCATCACTTCGTGACATGTCCTGCCCAAGCCCACGTATTTTTCTTAACGGTCAAATCTGCAGATGTATTGAATCTGCATATGTTCACAATCCATTGTTCCTCTTTCTGTGTCTCGGTGTATTCCAAGCATGAATCTCTCCATACTTCGTTGTGCACTCTTGCACCTCCGATTAGCACGGCTGGCTATGTTACAGTGCGAAAGAAGTTCAACATACATACACTCTTAAGCTTTTGTTGGTCAGGGACTATAGGCAATACACAATAGTTAAATCTTTTCCTCTCCAGACATTTACCTTTCCAAAAGCGCTACAGTCTGCTCTCAAACCATAAAATACCATTAATTAGCATTAAAAAGTGTGTAGAGAGTGTGTAGAGGTTCATGCTTGAAATAATACTGAGTGACAGATATGATATTAACTGTTGAAAAGAGTAAGTTTCCTTGGACAGAACACATCACGCGAAGGAATGGTCGTTGGACAAGGCTTGTGATGGAATGACAGCCAGAAGAGGGAACACACTTGAGAGGAAGACCACCCACGTGATGACACGATGATATCAGCTCACGGATTGTGACATGACGGATTGCAACAATGTAGAGGAGCCTGCATCCAGCAGTGGATATATCAAGACTGACGATAACTTGCAACGAGTGAAAATAACTTACTTTTCATATGGGTGCTGTGATCTGAATCTTTCACTGCCAAAATAAAATCAATTCATTAAGCATCGCCACAGTGAAATGTTCTTTTTTGCATGTATAGACAGCATACTTTAACCCTTGTACACTGTCTGATATTTTATGCGAGACCTCCATTGCTGCAAGTTGGCTAAAATGTCATTTCTGCATTATTTCAAATGATCAGTCATTTTTTTATTTCACAATCGTGCACCAAACACAATTGCATATGTTTGACATTTAAACACTACGTGTACAGGGCAGCAACCAAGATGCTATACCCTCCCAATTCAAAACCTCCCATGTGAGCATTATATGTAATTTTATTCTGTGAATGCCACAGGCATTTACATTTACAGAGTTTAACGGAGTTAACAAAACTATATATGCTGATGCCTGTGACCTGTTATGTCTAAGGCTATGTATGATTTTGTTACAGAGGTCATGGCTGTCATAGAAATATTGAATTTGAACAAAGTGCATGACATTTTGAAAATAGCTGTAGAAACACATTGTATGTATGTCCAACTTATTTCCCACCATACATAGCCAACAGTGCTAATCGGAGGTGCGCATGTACGAACAGATGTCACACATTTCCGGTAGGTGACATCTCTGTGACCACACCCACCCCAACTTCAGCAAACATGCAAATGGGACACGCATCGTTCACATACTGGTCCACCTCTCCCCATCACACTTCAATTTACTGCCGATATTTAGCGATTGCTCCCTGCTCAAAGTTATTATTTGTTTGCTCTTTCCCAAGGTGAAGCCGATCGCACCCCTATAAATAGTATATGCCAGGGGACAGTCTAGGAGAAACAACCCTATACTTGGGTGACTAAAAATAGGTGAGCACTACATAAATAATGCACCTTCTACTATTGTATCATTTTAAAACAGCATCACTGTGAGGAAAGTGTAGATAATGGCCCCTTTTCAGAAGGTCCCAATCGGAACCTGAATAAAGTTTAGTTTGTTGTCCTTCCCCAGGACATCTGATTAGCACGGTTGACTATGTACGGTGTGAAAGAAGTTCAACATACATTTATACAAGGGGTCACCGAAAAATGTACACGCACAAACGGTACCTCGAGGCATCTTGCATATGAGGCCAAGGCCGGGGGTGGTGCATGTAACCAGCTCCCACTTCCCAGTATTTGTGACCATCCACGCACACAGATCGGCATCCATGAGGCCCTGTGGATCGCCGTGCGCCCAGTTGGTGTAGCGGAGCTGTGAGCCATCCTCCCAGCGCAGGTCACCAACTTCAGTGAAGGGAGGATAACATTCATTATATGATCACCTATCTATGCCAACAGGCACATAAACCTGTAGTCTCAATCTGTGGTTCCCACACTGCTCTATAAACCCGGTGGAGATCACATCAGCAGCAAATTAAACTTCTCCTAGGTGTCCGCTTCACTAAGCCGCATTGACCAACATAGTGAAGTATGATTAAAACCTAGATTTGAAGCTTTCGTGACTGCAAGGATTCATACTCTTTGGTTTTTTCGGTAAAGTCACGTAGGTAAAAAATAGAATAAAATAAATGAAAACAACTCAATTAAATCACAACGTTTTGGGTGCAACACAAGCTTCCGTCATCAGGTGGGAAAGCTTTCCCTCCCGCTTGTGTTGCACCAAAAACGTTGTGATTTAATTTATCTGTTTTCATTTATTTTATTTTATTTTTTACCTACGTGACTTTACCGAAGAAACCAAAGAGTATGATTAAAATCTCCCATGACTTATATCATATGGCATTCATGAAGATTTGAATTGACAATGCGCTGTAAGTGATTTATTGTTTTCTTGAGTATAAGTGAAAGAGATGGTTAAATGGCTGTTGATAATCACAACTTTACCACGAACAATAATTCAATCCAATTGAATTTGTATCACACTTCACTGAAGCTGGCAATGTATTTGTCTCTCCTGATTGGTATTGCATCCTCTTACACGTAAATCTGCTTACATGAATACCTTGAATCATTTATATTTAGACCATCAAGTGTAGATGTACCATCAGTGTCATAGCTGAGGCTGAGCCAGATGCTTGATATGTGCTGTTGGTAGGGCTGCAGGTTTTCCCACACGAAGGTATTCTCCTGCTCATCCTGAATGGACAGTGGTTTGGCCTGGGGATCTGAAAGACATGTGTGTGCTTGTGTCAGAATACATGTCTTTGAATGAACACGGGAAAGGTACAAACAAAGTGGTAAAAATAACACACACAAAATTCAACTATGAATAACGAGCTAAAAAGTGTTGGCAGACACAATATTTCTCTGCCAAAAAGTTTTTATCTTATAATTCATGGTTGAATTTTTGGTTGGGCCATGTAATAATATGGCCAAATTTGTGTCGTTAATATCCTCCACACCTGACAAAGCCAAACAAATATAATTGCCACGTAGTGTACAAGCATTTAGCGCTCCAATTATCATTATTTCAGCTAATCCACAATGTGCCCAAAATAAATATTGCTGTTTCTTTTCACTTTATAGTCACCCTAATATCCACCAGAAATAAAATCTGTTTCTTGATACTGGTAAAAATAATAGTTGTGTTTTAACTTCAAAATAATTCGAATATATCCATAAATGTATACGTTTCCTAGAGGTGTGCTTACGGATGGAGGCACAGGCCTGTGATGCACCATCCTGGTATGTGGTGCGCTCCGGATAGAAGGCGTAGCAGTTTCCACGAAAAGGCAACCAGGACGAGCTGTTGATGGAGTGCGGGCACTGCCCCTGGATGGCACTCTTAACGGGAACCGCTTCTAGGTACGTGACACAACAGAATACAGCCATAACTGTCAACATCCAAAACATAATTATCACTGATACATTGTATTGCAACGTTACAACCACATAAAATACATACTCTTTGGTTCTTTCGGTAAAGTCAAGTAGGTAGAAATAAAATAAAATAAAACAAATCACGACGTTTCGATCGCAACACAAGCAATGTTCATCAGGTGGAACAACCACTGCAACAAAATGCTGAAGTAGGCGAGACAGCTGCCGTGGCAAGAGGTTATATAGGTAAGAAAGGGGGAGGCAAGGGGGGAGAGAGAGAGGGGGGGGGGTGTGAAGTAGGGGAAGGGGGGGCTGCGTGTAGGATGGAAACAACCACAACCAGTTAAGGCATTACCTGGTTAATAACATCCTTCCAATGATTGTTCAATTTGTATCCATCTTCTCGGTTGAAGTTATGTCTGTGTTTATATATCTGGATGGCTTCATGAACAAACCTTTGATAGTTGTCCGAAGGTTTTCAGAGTATCTTGGTCTCGGAAAAAACAATATCATGCGAGCCCACAGCGTAATAGCAATGGTCAGCTACGGCAGAGGTATTGGTTCTGCCGTGTTTCAGATCTGCCTTGTGTTCGCGGACACGGTCCGAGATCTGACGTTTCGTTTCCCCAATGTAACTGCTACCGCAGACACAACTCAGTTTGTAGACTCCAGGGTATTGCATGTCAGGAATAACCTCCTTTACAGATGGGATTAGATCACGGATTTTGTGTACTTGCTGTGGTTGTTCCACCTGATGAAGATTGCTTGTGTTGCGATCGAAACGTCGTGATTTGTTTTACTTTATTTCTACCTACGTGACTTTACCGAAAGAACCAAAGAGTATGGATTGCTGCAGTTATGAAAGCTTAAAATCATTACTTTAAATACACTAAATTGTATGGCACATTCCCCACATGATCTACACTTTAAAGTCAGTGGCAGAAGTATGAATCACACCCGTATGTAAATCACACCGTGGCAAGGTAACCAGAGGCCTTACCTTGTCGACTCATGCAGATGGCACCCTTGAGGAGCGTCTTGCAGCCTGTCACCTTCCAACAGCTGTCACGATCGATATAGACGCAGCCCTCGATCGTCTGGGGCTCGCCTCGCATCCAGTGTGTGTAGGGAACGTGATCATCAGAAATCCATTCGTAGCCTAAGTCACCTGACTGCGCATACATACAAAAAGCACGTGCATGGTCGCGCACATGCCAGTAGAAGCACGCACACGTTTATCAACAAACAAAAGTCTTGATGGTCATGGAAGTAAAATTTCGGGACTGGAATCATTGTAACGTATACAATTACTTATTTATCTAGAAAGGCACGCTGAATCCAATAAAACAAAATTCAGAAGGGGTCTGCATTCTATGTGTTATATTAAGATGTTTACAGCCAATAAACATTTAGGCATGTAGGAGGAAAATGGAGCACCAGCAGAAAAGCTACGCGTGTGAGAGGGAAACATTCTATTCCATACAGATGGGACCAATTATATGATTCCACACTTGCTGTACTTCCTTCTCCTGGTGAGCTAGAATATGGCACACGACATTGGAAAGTATTGCCGAATATATATTTTTATACGAGGTCAAGTCAAGAGTTTATGGAACAATCCCCATTCTATGAGATTTGTATTTTTTACATCAACCACATGGTCTCAAGGCGTGTTCTGCAGTGGGAAGAAAGAGTTGTGTATAATTAATTCCTGCTTACTACATAAAATTACGGCTACAGAAGCCATGGAATGTAGAACAAAATTAACATTCTGAATCAAGTGAAATTAGATGCACATATGAAAGCATTGAATACAAATTAAGCCATAAGATAAAAAAGTGTAACAACATGAATCTTGATTATTAATTCTTTTTTCCAAATATTTATATACTTCAGCCAACCCCATGACTGACCAACGAAGATTTATAGAGACAATACGCATGCGATAACATCTTCATACTACCAAGTGTGTGCTTTCACATGGCTCACAAACAAAAACGTGGACGTGTAAATTTACACATTATTTTCATACGCTAAAAGAGTAAGAAGACGTGTGTGTAAAGTTTTATCAACCTGGTTCAAACTGCCGTCAATAACTCTTCGTTGATGGACGATAACGTTTGGTGAGAGACACCCCTGCATGTGCACAATACGGGATGTATTTTTTTATAACGGAGGTGCAAGTCAAAAAACTCCGTACATCAAAGCTGGAGAGGCCGATCCAGAGCGGCGATGCCACGCGGTCGAGCACGAGTGTGAGGAACGCCTGGTGTCGCGGGTCCATGATGCTGGCCAGCACCGTGTCACGGCGCTCGCACAGCCACGCCGCCTCAGGCCACGACAGGCTGTACAGCACCATCGTGTACGTTACATTATCCATCCGCAGTGTGTCCACAGCGAGCGGGTCTGGGATCGGCGACGGTGATGGAAGTGCCGGGTCTAAGATGTGCACACACCCGCGCAGAAAACCCTCGGTCATCGTGGAACGGAGGGAGGGGGGGTTGACAACAGAGTTTCTAATAGACAGGATAAGAGTTATGTTTGACTCGTCAGGGGAAGCGATATGTGAAAATAAGGGGAAACAATTATTTACTCAAATAATTGTTCCAGCACTAATATGCACAATGGTAGGCAACAGCATAAGGCGAAACACTGAGGAGGAAGACCGGCATATGAGGTACTTAAATGGCATGTGGCTAAGGACTAGTATAATACTCCAGACTGCGGGACTCCATCAATATTTGTTGATTGCTAATAGGCTGTAAAATCTACAGCGATTAATTGACTGGAAACCCTTTTAAAGCGGGCAGTTATTTGAGTGGGGAACAGTGTCATGATTCTAAACAAAAGTATGGAGGGTAGCTACCTGAGCTCAAGTACATACTCTGCCGTCTCTGTTGACAGGCATTCAGACATGGCAGAATAGAATAAATCACGACGTTTCGGGGCGCAACACAAGCGTCCATCATCAGTGTTGCGCCTGAAACGTTTTGATGTATTTGATTTGATTTTCTACCTACGTGACTTTACCGAAAGAACCAAAGAGTATGGATTCCTGCAGTCACGAAAGCTTCAAATCAAGAATGGTAGAATAGTTTTCGATCAACAGCTCTTACACATTGGAGTTATTGAGGAATTTATTTGACAGGGCCGCCTGCAAGTGTGCAGCAGATGTCAAGCGCCTGCTGTGGCAGCCATGGGTGCAAGTGGCTTGGGACCCAAATTAAAGTAACATGCACAATGGGTCCTAGGTGTGATCAGGGTGTGCCTGGCAAGCCATCAGGCCATAACTAAAATTCCACGCCGTGCTGTGGCATGGAGACGACGTACAGCCCAATTCCCACCCAGAATGCAAATAGGCACCCCTCTCGCACACCCTTGGTGAGAAAGGTTATTTAAAAAAAAATCACACTGAAACAATAAATAATCGTACGTGAATAAAACAAAAACCATTGATTCTACCTTTGTATTTTTGGCAGATAAAGTTGTGCTCCTCCTGCACGCAGTTCCGGCTGTCCCACTTGCCGGTAAAATGGAGTGGAGGGCCATTCCACACCATCACGCAACTCACCTGCATCACCAGCCACAACCAAAGTAGAGAACAACAGCAATGTAATATTTTTCGATTTAAAGCTTTCGTGACTGCAGGGATTCATCTTCTTGGTTCTTTCGGTAAAGTCACGTAGAAGGGAAGTAATAAAATAATAGAAATAAAACATTATAAAATAATTCTCACGACGTTTCGGCCACAACGCAAGCAGCCGTCCTCAGGTGAAGACCAGGTATGTCGGGGAGACAGCATCTGAATGGACGCTGCTTGCGTTGTGGCCGAAACGTCGTGAAAATTATTTTATGTTTTATTTTTATTATTTTACTACTTCCCTTCTACGTGACTTTACCGAAAGAACCAAGAAGAGCAATGTAATAGCATAGGTCATCACAGTTACAATTCTGAGTTGGGAATTGCCAACTGCTGCCGGTGGGTTAGATAATCTTAGGGTGTGTGTAAACATAATTTGCACCATTATCAAAAACACCATTATGCTAATGCTCCACCACTGTATACCAACTGCTCAATGCTCTCCAGTTAAGTGGCAAAACGAAAATATTAAAAGTTCAATAATTAACGATCATTCACCTCGACTCATTAAACGTAACAGGACACAACGATGACTCAATGTAGATGTTGCCCAACTTTAAGGGAACTATAAACGGTAACACTTATCGCTGACATTACAATTAGAAATTGCATAAAATCTCAAGCAGGCCTGATGGTTTCCATCATATTAGAAATGCACTTTCAATGTTGTCATCTTAAAATTCTCAATTTCAGGTCAAGAGGTCATTATGGCCAATGTCGGTGATGGGATAGCACCCTCGTCACCAATTCCTTCCGCTATTCCCTGTAGCAGAGTCAACACCAGGCCTCAAAGGCCTGCTTTTCCAGCTACCTACCATCTGGATTTTTGTCTTCACCTTGGCCTCTGACCTCTGGGTGCCAATCCAAAATAATTACCCATGTTGCTCCATGTCACATATGTATGTATGACTTACGTGGAGACTGATTTATGTAGCCGAAGTAGTGATTATTCCATCCGTTTTCAGTGGAATGACAGCCTTCCTTTCACATACATAATTGTGCACTTGTTCCCTTCTCAAATTCAATCTGTATCGTCAAAGCTGTCCCTCCAAAAATTATATGTTTTACAAAGAAGCTTGCAAATGTTACAGGATTTTGATTCTCACAATTTCCAAAAATTGTTGCAACACTGCATATACTTAAACTTTTATGTCAAACACAAAATGCACGAATGATACGTACAAAGTCACCCTTGTCATTGCTCCCTTGGTCTGCTTTGTCTGTCTTGACCAAAGCAGGGTGCATCCAGTTGGTGAATGTAACATTGCGTTCTTCCAGCCATGTGAATGCTCCCACGCTCGCACGCACATGCAGTCCCACCCAGTAGCTGTCTTGTCCCGGTGCCAATTTCAAGATGATAAATGCTGTAAACACACATTCACAGATGTGGCACAGTAGGAACACTTGCGCCTTTGCAGCAAGAAGGGCCTCGGTTCGATTCCAGACTTTGGCACCTTTATCTTTGGAATTTGTATGTTCTCCCCCAGTTCGGAATGGGTTTCCTCCATATTATATGAGTTTGTCCCATAGCTATAAAATATACAATGTAACCGGTTTTGGACAAATATCTGAAGAATTACCTAGACATTACTCAATTGGGATTACACATATAAATATCGCCCCATAATGCTAAAGCTTGGCAGGACCCTCCTGAAAAAGAGTCGGAATTCAGCAAGGCTTTTCTGGAGAAAATAGTGTATAAAAATAACAAATTCACAAACATGTCTGCAAAGTCCACATGTTTGTATGCAAATCTGTCACTCAAGCCCATCACAACATATAGAGTAAAAAGAAGAATATAAACACCGATTGTATTTGACTACCATTTTACATAGTCCTAACGATAAAATTCCACTTTATTTTCTCATATGCATGTTATTGTGTGCATTATGCAAGACCTGCAATAGAGTCAGCAAGTGTGCAGAGGTTGGTTCACTAGGACAGACAGGCACCTTGCTCGAGATGGTTTGCAATGGTGGCCAGGGTTGCATCCTGGCTCTCGCAGTACTCCTTAGCACCCATCCACGTCCTGGCCTGCCCAGGCCCATCCACAAATCCCAAGCACTGCACCACACAGCACACGCCAAGCACACACGCACAGATTGTCGTCTCTCCAGTCAACCTTATGGAAAAATTTTATGAAAATATTTTAATCTGTTACAAACCAATGCCTAAATAAACGCATTTGTAGAAATACTTAAAACCATTTCCAACAATGGATCAAGTTGCAGTGAAGAGTGCGCAGTTGCATGCAGCACTACTTGGCCACCTTATCTCCAAACACATGCCAGCCATCAGGACAGTTCCCCCAGGCCGACGTGGCAGGGTGTAGAGGAGTCATTGGAACTGACATTGTGACATTCCAGCGCTTGCACACTGCTGGCAGCTTCATCCCACAGCGCATGTCCCCCCAAGTACCTGAGAACCATCAGAACACACCCCCGTCAACGACAACACTCTTGCTATCTAATTAAAACACAGTTAGGATTTGGTAATGTTGCATTTGCAGTGGTGCACGGGCCACTAATAACAAAAAAAGTTAACACATTTGTGAATGACATTGCCTAAATACGATTTCAAAAACAATATGGATATAATCAGGCAATGTCCTATGAAGAAGTCGTTCCCTGAAACATTGCCTATTGTATATTTATTTTCATTTTTAGCCACTGTTGTTGACAAATGTGTTGAGTTTTTTTTTATATTTCCTATCTAACTATGTCCTTAACAATGGTATCACTGTGTTTAAAGATGCGGCGTTATCTATTCAACATCTCGGCCCGTGGTTATTTCCATTGGCAGCCGCTATCCAGTGATGTAAATTCCACCTTCACGAGGTGGAACCTAGACTCTCCGTAAGACAATTATGAGCATAAAGTGGGAAGAATTTTTACCAAACATTGGACATCATGATAATAGTTTTTTTACCCTTATATCTGGCAACAAAACTGACATCTTTTTTACAAGGAGTCATGTTTGCATTGACCACAATACCTTCGGTCGGAATGCAAACAAAAAACACAACTCTGATAATGTATGCACTGTCCTTGAAATTGATTGATCCACACCCGAGACAGCTTTTCTTAGAGCCTAGTCTCACATGGTGTTGGACCAGATGACGCCAAAAGGCGCACGTGGTGTAAAAAAAAAGGTGTCAGTTTTTTTGCCAGATAAAAGGGTAAAAAACCAATTATTATATTTTGCTACTGGCAAAGGAGGTTCCAATGGTGTAAATCGACGATCTAATGGCAGCACCATCAAACGTGATGCCTAATTTTGTTTTGTAAACAGTTCTTTGTGCAAAAGCCGGTATTGACTGAATACACATCATCACATTAAAAGAACCGGCCTCACCCTTGTTGGCAGACATGTAGACGCAGGTCTGGAATTTGCGGGCTGCATTCGGTCTGTTTTCTGCCCATGCCATGAACGTCAACAACGAACCATCCGACCACCTACCAACACATAAAAAGGGACATTACTGCATACTGCCTTGTATGCACAGTGACTTACGGAAATAATTTCAGAGTTTTGTGGAGGAACCAAACCTAAATATGCACTCACTCCATGTTAGATTTTCATGTTGTTTCATGATGATAAATGATATTCACGATAATGGGTGACTCCCCTTGGCTATGTCACTCTTGATACTAGCTTTATGATTTTCAGGGATTCACATTTCACCCGAAGTCTTAAAAGTGCCTTTGGTACTGGCAAAGGAGGTCCCATGACGAACGAACATTACATTACTATTGTGTCAATATAGCACAAAGAGTGACCGCTCAAATTTTTGCACGCTCATTCATGAACGAAATCTAACTATGAAACAGTACCATGAATTAATCTGTAACGTTCACGTATGCTGTTGACTTTCTGGTGACAGACGCAGCTTGTGAATGTGGGGGTGCCCCTCTGTATCCCTGGTCGGACAAGCGTGGGGCAATGCTCACCCAGCCAGTGATGGAACCTGAACGTCGCGTGAAGGCTACGGGATGAGCACAGCACTCCAAAGCTAAACTCACACCCTTCAGCAGCTTCGTGTAAAACCAAGTACGTAGATAAAACCGTGCTAATCATTTGCACTTTGCAAGAACGTGCAACTCGGTGTTTATGTACATTTCCATATCACAATTCTGGCTAATCGCCTGATGAAGCTGGTTGTAGTTTACAGTGAAATGTCGTACTCGAAATGTAAATGTTGTGGGTTTACTCTCCAACACATCGGTGTGCTGAAGTAGTAACTAATTGGCACGTTTTGTTTACTGACAAACCTTATTAATTGGCTGTGTCGGGTGGTGGCAGGTTTAATGACACATTTATATTTATGCAAACTAACTCAAAAACATTTTTATTATGGATTCATGATCATATGAGCATTGGTTGTAAAACAATGTATACTTAATGCCTAAACAGTGGAAATGTTTGCTGTAAAGTATCATGATCAGTGTTTGGAATACAGTATAAGGATTTGAATGTGCATTGCTCACACTCTTATACCATGTACAGTATGAACTCTGTACAGTTTACTTTTTTTTTATTCTGTTTCTAATAATGGAAATCCTTCAATGTGCTTTCATACATTGATGGGGATATTATACAAAACAAGTAAAATAAAGGGCCCAGTTCCTGAAGTGTAAAAGTCTGCATTTCCACCCCTTTTATTTGAATTATGGCCCCTTTTCTGGACAAAAATTGTGAAACGATTCCCCATTATTCATCCCAATGTGTTCTGCCACGTCTACAATGCATTACTCCAAGCCTACATTCTGTACAGTGAAAATAACCAAATTGTGCAGGGCTAGGGCCGGAGCCAGGATAGGGCTGCACAATTGCAGAATTGTTCAGAAAATCTGTACTGAAAGCTGCACACTATGGCTTTAAGGTGAGTTTTCATTAGCGGTGGTTAGGGGATAAGACTTTTACACATATTACAGGAATGGTTCTGCACTTAGTAATACAATTCCATACTATCTTGGCACATTCTGACAATGTTTTGCAGAAGTAATTATTCCAAAAGATACTCTCTATTTATTGTCTACAAATTGATACTAACCTTATTAACCCAGAGGGATGATGGGTTTATTTGACTTCCGGTTAGGATTTCACCAGACTACCTTTACATTATTTTAAGTGGCATGCTTTGTGGCGACACTGCGTAGGCAGCTAAGACAATAGAATATCTTGATCTCACTGCAGGGGCTGGGATAAAGATGTAAACACACACAAAACCAAATGAAAATACATTTTAGCCTAACCTGCCAAAAGCCAACCTGATTGTGGGTGGATGTGGGACTCACTGAAGCTCACTGTCACCATCCAGCATGCTGAGTCCAATCCACCACTGCTGCAGCGAGGCCTTTGACAGCTGTAGATGTATACACACGTGCACATGTACAGCAGCAACAGCTCTCCAAGCCAGAATCATAATGGAGGCAGAGCTCTTCTGAGTATGGGAGTCGTCTGGCATGCTGCAAATAACTAAATAACATATAATTCCAAATGTTAAATGACACTGACATGTCACAAACTCTTATATTTTTTACTCAAATGTATTTAATGCACACACATGCACAGCTACATACACAAAGACATTCCCACATACACAGGCAGTATGTATGTTACACTTCTTTCGCACCGTAGCACAGTGATTCTCTGTGTGGCTTTATAAGCATTGGTTCCCAACCGAAAGATTGTCGTGTACCCCCTACCAGACCGATCAACTGTCCGCGTTCCACCATTTAATTTTGTACATGTTTTACACCACGTACGACATTTATTCAGTAATTTAAAACATATGAACAAATTCAACAAATAGTTAGAATTTGATATTTTACAATTTAATAACACTTTACACTTTCATCCGAGTCCCTTACCATCGCCATGAAGCAGAGGTGGAAGGCTGAGGCTCGGTGGATGTGGAAGACTTGGGAAATTTTCTTAAGGGCTTGTAAAATTTGTTTTGTTTATATGTAAATAAATTGTGAAAAAAATGCGAGCGCTGCAGCACGGGGATGGCCTAGGCGTCCAAAGGCACCATACATTTAACAAACCATCGTCTTCAAAACACAATTTTCTCGTCAAGGAGTCTAAATCATCACGCAAACTCCGGTCATCCTCGCAACAGTGGCTTTTGGTTAGCCATCAGACAAAAACGGGCATCACATCGCGTGCTTTCAAATGCGCTTCTTTGGACATATGGAATGCTCTTCTTTTCGATATTAGGAAACCACTGGAGCTATGGACTTTTAAATCGAGAATGAAAACTAATTTCTTTACCACTTTCTTTTGTCTTTAGTTTGTTGTCATTCCCCAAACCTCTCATTAGCACGGTTGTCTATGTACGGTGCGAAAACAGGACCCTGCGGGGTGGGCTGGTAGGAACGAATAACCAAAGAATATAAACATAATGTATTATTAACACGTGTTTAGCCAGGAAAGCCCCACTGAGTCTAAAGGTTTTTGTAGGGTCATGCCAAGTGTTTGCAGTAGGGGGCGATGTTGCTACACGGACGGACGGACGGACAGACGGACAAACGGACGGACGATATAATCTATTGGTGTACGTTTCTGTCAAGTGCCTGCTGGTGGAAGTTTCAGCAGTGCCAAGTTGCGTCTCATTCATGGATTTAACAAGATTGACTTTTACAGCTCTCGGATTTGGCACACCAAGTACAAACATTCAACGTGAAATTGAAAGTAACAAGTCTGCTGTGTATATACGTGTTTCTAAAACTAACAGATGTGAAAGGTTAAGTTCGGCGTAGAGATAACATTTCTGTAAATTCTTCTTGGTTACCTTCTGCATGGTGTGCAACAGGTATAGAAACTCGGCCCTGTCACGCACGGAGGCCAGCTCGCCGCCCATCAGCGTGCAGGACAGGCGGGCATGGATCCAGCTCAAGGGTTGCTGCACAAACAGGTACTCGGCGCCCTGGTGATGCAGCCACTGCGTGTCGCCGCTCACTGCAACGCAAGCGGGAAGCACAGCAGAGCTCTCAGTACGCAGCACGTCGTACGTGCTGATGAACCTCGTGGACGACGGGGGTCAGTGGAACACAGGCACGTGTTCAGCGACGGTCGAGAAGCACTACGCCTGCAACAGATGCGTTGCTCAACGTAACTCGGGCAGCACTGCATGCGTAAATACCAGAGCCGGCCCTAGACCTTTGTGGGGGCACTAAGCAAAATTTGGTTGGAGGCCCCTTTGATGTATGATTTTTTTTTCACCCACTTGCTAGCAGTGACTCTAGGGGGGCCCTCTGCTGGCCACGGGGCCCTTTGCAATTGCAAGGGTCGCTTAGTGTAATACTCAGCTTGTCCGCACACAACGCAAAACATAGATGTGGCTTCCGCTAACCACGTACACTCCACACGTGAAATAACAAGCAATAACTGCACGATAATGTGTCATTTATTGTTAAGAATTAATAACAATTTACAGCCCTTCTAAAATCGACTGCTGGATGTCTACCCATGCTGTCAGTCATGAAGGCTATTTGACCATACTTCACCGCACTGCTCAGTATGGGTTGGTTTAAGGGGGTGGACTCACACTGGGTCAGTTAAAACTGGCCACTGATGTCAGCCATGGCCAGATATCAAACTCAGCTCTCCGGCCTCACATTGCAGTGCGAAAACCATTGAGCCACTGTCCCCCAACAACCAATGCATAATTGTTAACTGACTAGAAATGCAGCTGCCAATTCAGTACACGGCTTACAAGCAGTGCGAAGCCCTACCCCTCCCACCCCCCACCCAGCCCCTCCCCACCCAGCCCCTCTACACCCAGCCCCACCCCATCCAGCCCCTCCCCACCCTCCCCACCGAGCCCCTCCCCACCCAGCCCCTCTCCACACAGCCCCACCCCACCTCCCACCCAGCCCCTCCCCACCCAGCCCCTCTCCACCCAGCCCCACCCCTCCCATTTTTGGATTCACGACGGACGGACGGATACAATAATCCCCTGTGGGCTGGTGTAACCAGGAGGTTCCTACCAGTAAAAACAACAGCAATCCATGATAGTTGGTTCACTAACCATCCAGTTTTTGCCTGGACAGTCAGGCTTTTGATCGAGCTCAACAATGTCTGTATCTATCTATCTATGGTGAACTTCTTTAGCACCGTACGCAACCAACATGTCTGGTTGACACCTTCATCTGGACATCAAATTTCCACTGTTTGGAATATAATGGCATCGTGAAAAACGTGCACAAACAACCCGGTACGGAGTGGCGTGTTTGACGGAATGTGGAGCCTAGCACTTTCCCTGCGTGACATGTACTTAATGGAACCGGGTTAGCCAATTAATAAAGATTGATTTACTACATTTGCAATAAAATAAGTAATTTACCAATAGACCCTTGGGACCAACCGTCGAACCGACCGAGTAATATAACTACACCACATTGCAGTAGACACACAGTAATTTGTTTACTGGGATAAGTAAAACTCCGTTTTATCAAGCACCATTCACACAATGCCTCACAGCGCTTTACCACATTAAAACTAAGCGGAAAACAACCCGACACAGACAGTAAAACATACGCACACTGCTAACGATGATAGATTCCATACATGCACGCATATACACGGGGTGACTGTTATTTATGACAAGATTTTCATTACGTTTGTAGCTGGCTATACAATAGCAGCTGACCGGACCAGGACTTCCTCATATTAGTTCGGCTAGCAGAGATCTTACTACTTTGAGGTGTTTTGACATTTGCAAACACTGCGCTGTAAAGTCATACAACATAATTTGCGAACGTTACATAAAATAAAATCAGTGCCATCCGTGTTACATTTTTTAAGTTCCTTTTTTAAAAAGTTATTCCTACACCACAGTACCAGGAAGAGAGCCCATTGGGACAAAGTGGCCCGATTCATGTGCTCTTGTTTGGCTGCGTGCTTTTGCGAAATTCCGCCGATAGGTGCAAATTATGCACAAAAAACGATTCTGCCGAATGGAATGCACATATTTCTGCCCCCAATTTGCTCTGCGGAATGGGTGGGGCCCAATTGTGCCGAAACAAATTAGGGCCACGTGTGCTGACAATCAGCACGTTCAGCCAGCAAACCCCACCGAAGCCAACCAACCGAGTTCTTTAACATAGCCAAAGATTAACCTGTATAGTCCCAACAGACTGTAGGAGGCACGTGCTGTTAGCCAGCAAATGAGTACCCTAGTGCCATGTGTAAACATCAACACTAGGGAGACAAAGGCGGCCGGGCGTGGTTGCTGGCCACCCATGCCCCCCCCCCCCTATGCTGTTCTGGCCTCCATAGGTGCTCGCTAACAGCACTTGCCCCAACAGTGTGTTAAGGCTATATGGGGGGTCTTTGTCTTTGTCTCTGCACATAGTTTGGGACAGTAGGGCATAGTAGGGGGCAATCATCTCAAGTCAGTCGACCCATGGCACCTGGGTCTGTCCCGTGTCCTCCTGCCAGCGGACGTTAGACACTTCACGTGGAATTAAAGTGCACATAGCCTGGCACAAGCGCCGTGGTTATGTCACCGCCACTTAGTGGCGAATGGCGGTTGTTGTTGCTCTGCCCAGAATTGTAGCACAAGCCAAAGGTGTCTTTGCAAAGGTTAAATATGATGACATTGCTATAAAACGATGTTGATAATGATAATATAATTATGAGGATAGTGGATGACGATTATGAGTATCATGGAAATGTTGATGCTGTATGATGATAACTTTGGTAATGATGAAGATGATCACGATGATAGTGATGAACATCATGACGGTGCAGCTGCTCCAGCTTATGATATTCCACCCCCCCCCCCCCCCCCATTTGTTCATGATCCACCAACTACGATCGGCCCCTTTCTCTTGGCAATCCACCTATCATTTGTCTCCAAAATTCTGGACTGCAGGTGTGCTGTCGTGCCAAAGTGAAGACCAGATAGCCATTTAAAGTTGAGTTGACATAGAGATGCCATTGAACAGATGCCATTGATGTAAGCCATGGACAAAAATCGAGTTCAGGTCACTGGTTTCACAAAGGCCCTACGCATCATCATCAGTTCAACAGCATCCGCACGGGCAAAATAACATCATTACCTTAAACTTCTTCGTGTGCGTGACTGGCACAATTCTGTTGCTTTTCACGCTGTTTTAACAGCTAAAACCTACTTGAATTTATTTTTGGAAATGCCATGAAAAAAACTGCAGAATGGACGAGCCGAAGACGCACCATGACAAGGCGAACTGGAGCGCCACGCCTACACAGCCTCCCACCAATGGTGAAAACTTCCAGCCATTGTTTGGCACCACCCTCACTCCACGGGTGCAAAGATTAGTAGCAGTGGTATCAGTTCTTGTCAGTGTACAATCGGTCCCCCGTGAACTAAAAATTTTAGAGAGCGAACGATGTTTCACCAGCACGGCCGTCATTTCGTCAAAATGTAGCAAAATTATGGCCAAAAGGGCAACACGAGTTGGATCCAAAAATCTTAGTCTAGGAAGAACGTGTAAAATAAGTTATAAAAAAGTGACACCAAGCAGTGTGTAAGAGTAGTGAACTCAAGTGATATGGTACACACTGAAATAGACGTGCATTCATTTACTGATAAATGACAGGATCAAAGAATGAGTCAACGCACACTATGGGTCGTATCATGGGACCTCTCTTGCCAGTATCAAAATATAAGAATTAGGTTTTACCCTTTCTGACAATAAAACAGGTGTTAAGATATTAAAACACCAAACTGAAACCTTTTGCAACGATTACTCTTTGGTTCTTTCGGTAAAGTCACGTAGAAAGACATTAAATAATAATAGAAACGTTTCAATTGCAACACAAGCAATCATCATCAGGTACACATGAATGAGAAAACAAACCTAGTAAACTTGGAAATATAATGCAATTCAACACAGAGAGTCGGCCAACACAACAGTCAACACCCCAGCTGGTTGATTACGTTCTTCCAAAGATTACTAAATTTGAGAGAGAGACAGACACACAAGCAGAGAGAGAGACTCACACAGAGACAAACAGAGATAGACACACACATAGGCACACAGAAAGATAACGTCTCTGTGTCGAGGCCTAAAATAGAGAGAGAGGGGGGGGGGGGCAGAGGGGGAGTTGTGTGGAATTCCTGCCCATAGAGGGACGGAGGAGCTGGACTCTGGACTTCTAAACACACAAGCACGGAGCGTTGTGTGGAATTACTGCCCATACCACCCGGAGGAGAGAATGGACCCATAAACAAGCACGGTAGAAAGCAAATTTAGTAAAATTAGGAAGTGTAATGCTATGCAACATCGAGTCTGATGATGGTTGCTTGTGTTGCAATTGAAACGTACGTTGTATTCTATTATTTAATTTAATTTCTTTCTACGTGACTTTCCAGAAAGAACCAAAGAATAATTCCTGCAGTCACGAAAGCTTCGAATCTACATGTCTGCATTAACCACATATACTTGGGTCGTATACGTTCATATAAAAAATGACAGGCCAATCCTTTCCTCCTTCCCAGCTCACAGTGGTTATACTGGTACATATGAGTGAATGGGTACAACACTCACAACACCATTTGAAATAATACAATTGATTAATTCCTAACATCTTAACTATCGTTATGTTTAAGGCACTGTGCGCGTATCTGCTTTCCGGCAGGCCTCCCGCCTCCATCTGTCTTAATATATCCGGCATCAGCCATTTTCTCACCCCGTTCGCTGTCATGCCTTCATCACATCTTGTTTGGATTATTCCAACTCTCTTCTCTACGGCCTCCCTGAAATCCTTGCTTCAAAACTCCATCGGAGAGAGAGAATGCCACCACCAGACATCTCAGCTACAAATTAAAGGATGAGAACGTCACTCCTGTATGTCTAACTGCCTCCTAATTCAATCAAGGGTCAGTAAAAAGATAGTTTTTGTCGTCAATAAAACCCACACCATTTAGTGTACGTGACTTTTGTTTTGGCAACATTTGCAGCCTTCTTGATTAAGTTCTTTAATAATTTCCTGTAGTTAATTCCCACTGGTTCATATAATGACTATCATCAGTAAATCAGAGATGGTTAATATTTCCCCCATTTATGTGTATGCATTTTTCCTCCATATCCAAAGTTCAGAAAAAAGCTGTCTTGTAACGCTGCTGAGAATAATGTTGGAGACAATTTATTTCATTTGTGTGAATCCCCTTCTAATACGTGCATTATTACTTTCTTTCTGCAACCTCAGTGTAGCTGTTCCAGTTTTATGAATGGGCTTTATTAAGTTATAAATGTTTTGATGCGGAGGTTGGATGACTGCATACATTTCAAAGGATTTAACGAGTTAATTTCCTATCAATGGGATATCAGTTCATAGTCTGGACGAGGGTCAACTGGAGTCAATAAAACAGGTACTACTTTACTCTTTGGTTCTTTCGGTAAAGTCACGTAGGTGAAAAAAAATAAAGGATAAAAATAAATAAATAAATAAAAACACCTACGTGACTTTACCGAAAGAACCAAAGAGTATGGATCCTTGCAGTCACGAAAACTTCAAATCTAGAAGGTACTACTTTGTAGACATTCTGCAGTGGTTGTTTCAGGGATAAGCAGGCCCTGCCATGGGAACATGGACTATCCACCACTGGTGGAATGTTCGTCGCCAATGTTCAGGATTCACCAGAGAAAGACATTGTATACTAGAGCAGTGTAGCTTCAACTAAACAGGAAGGTTTTAATCTTGATTTGAAGCTTTCGTGACTGCAGGAATCCATACCCTTTGGTTCTTTCGGTAAAGTCACGTAGGTATACAATAAAATAAATTACGACGTTTCGGGCGCAACACAAGCGCCCGAAACGTCGTGATTTATTTGATTTTATAACATCCGTGACTTTACCGAAAGAACCAAAGAGTAGAAAGGTTTTAGTTTTAAATTCTCGTCGGGGTTCGCCTCAATCCTATTGTCGTTATTGTTGAACTATCGTCACGCCACAGTTGAAGACAAAGGTAGCCAGTACGGGGGAAGTGAACAGAGGTGGCTCGAGAGCAAAGGGGGCTGAGATAGGTGGAGAACACATGCAGGGTTGGCGAGAGAGGATGGGCACACAGAGGTCAGCAATTGAGATGGGAACGATACAGTTAAAGTTAATACTAGTGTTTCCCCCCCTTATTTCTGGCAACAAAACTGAAACCTTTATACAAGGATTCGTGTCTGCATTAACCACAATACTTGCAGTCAAAATGCAAACAAAAAACACTATGATAATATATGCATTGTCCTTGAAAAAGATTGGTCCACACAAAGGGATGGCTTTCTTTTGAGCCTCGACCCAATTGATGCTCGACCAGAGGACGCCAAAAGGCGTACAGCTCAAAGACAACGCACTATCAAAGTAATGAGGGCTCGTGTGAGCATCTACATCATTAGACCTCCTTTGCCAGTACTGGCAAAGGAGGTCTGTAAAAGTTGTCATTGGAGGTTGTGTGGTAACTGCTGCAGTTGCAGAAACACGCAGAGGGAAGAAGGCAGTGGCAAGGTGAGGGGGCATTGCTTGTATTGGCCTGTTGTCCTTTAAAAATTAAAATGTATATACACAGGTCCCAGCGTGTGTACTGCTGCTTTCTCAACCCCCACCAATGTTCCTCACTATCTAGGGCTTTGCACAACAGCTCTGCTATTGTACACACACATACAAAGATTCCCCTTATAAAGATAATAGACTGTTGGGGCAAGTGCTGTTAGCGAACACCTATGAAAGCCGGCACGGCACACGAGGGAGTGGGTGGCCAGCACCGCTCGCTAGTGGCGATGTTTACACACCGCACCAGGTACTCATTTAAGGCTGAGTCGACATATGGGAGGCCCAAAGCCAGTTCAGATAATCGTCACTGGTGTTGGCCGTGAGCAGGAATCGAACTCGGGTCGCCGGGTTCACAGCGCAGCGTAGCGCTCACCGCTACACTACCGCTCACCAAACACACACACATACACACATGTGTACACGCTCGAGTGTGTGGATATTGGATGGATCAGAGCATGCTTGACCAGATTCTTCTATGAGCCGGGGTCCTTGCTCCTAACTCTGAATTGGACGCTGCCTTCAGAGCGGACAGGAACACTACCCATTTTTCCTGGCAAAGTGGCACCTAAAATTGTTCATGAGGGGGGGCTGAATAATTGTTGTATAAAGTTACCATCAGCAGGACCTCAAGTAAAATCAAACCACACTTCCTTCACGAATCAGCTGTGTTGTCTCAGTTAACCCTCACCTCTCCTTCAAGAATATCTACCTTGGCCAAGAGGCACAACTGCCTTGCGCATGGTTGGTAGCGGGTGCTTGAATCTTGTTTATTGGATGGGGATGTCCTTACATCTCATCACATCTCATCACATGCATTATATTTACACCCAATTTAACTGGTGTTTGAAAAAGAACAACTATTTGTGTTCATACTCTGGCGAGTGATCAGATTGAATGGACATATCTTATTTTACCTACAGAGTATCTATGGAACTGCAGACAGTTTTTGGTTGCACTAATGTATTATATGTTGAACGTTTTAACATAATCAGGATAACAGGAAACTAAGGGGCACATAATTGGTAATGGCTGAAACATTAAAAAAATTGCATTGTAAGCAAAGCAGGGCAGGGGAGCGAGAGGAGGGGCTGGACCCCTGATGGAACACTGCGATAGGATTTGTATATACTAATGATGTCCCATCGTGGTGGATCATGGGTAACATACACACAGAGAACATTCCTGTTGCCCACCAGAAAATAAATATTGTTTTCAGTCCATCAGCTCTCTGGACCAATGTTTATCAGCATAGTTTTGTTTAAGCAGGAAAACTCTTGGTCAGTATACACCATTTATGCTGCGGTGTGGTCTCGCTTTGCATGGGGTACAATGCTCCGCTCCACATTCCGTCAAGCACGCTGCATGACAGGTTGTAGGACACGCTTCTCACAATGCCAGTGCGCCAAAATACTGGACATTGATGTCTGGTTGAAGACATCGAATAGACACTGTACAGCTAGATCAAAAAACAGTCCGGTCAAAACCTGGATGACTACTAAGTCTCCACTTGCATAGAGCCAGCCAAAATGTAAGAATTCCACACATGTTATATTTGTACAACTGCATAAGTAAAACATTGGCTCACAGTGGGAGGAGAGTGAATAGTGGGAAAAGGATAAGCAGCCAGAATGCGGTTACATGGGCGGGGACAGTTGGGATTGGCTTGGAGTAACAGAGCCGGATTCAGTTAAGTAATGTCCGTGAATATGTTGTTGTGATAATCAGTTGAGGATGTTGGTCACAAAAAGACAAATATGTACTCACGTGGGATTTCATCCTTGTCTCCTTTGGAACCTGCAAAGCAGAGATTTCAAAATACATATCAATTATGTGTGAGTGATAAAACGTGTTACCTAAACCGATTATTAGCTCATGCAATTCCAAACTTGTCTTGCTTGGGAATCGGTGCCCAGCGTTGAATTTGTGTAGTTTTATATATTTCGTTTTGTATACCCTGCCTGCAAAAGTAGTAGGGATATAGGAGTTTTCAAAGAAGGTTAAGTAATCAAATACCTTAACTGCATAGAGGATGGTGTGTTTTATTTTTTTCAAACTCTAATGAGGTCTGGGACAGTCGATAGATGGAATCTAAAAAACATTAACTTACGTTACTATGCCTGATTGATACTCCACCTATTATGCTATAATTTAAACACACATAGGACTGTTTTCTGTAACTCTTGTCCATTGACAATGGACTCATAAAATATAATTCTCAACAATGCTTAGTGTAACCTGTACTTTTAATGCTAATGTTTATTACTGTATGGCGATTACGGTAATTTCCTATATTCTAAACATTACATTTTCCATTAAAAGTGCAGATCCATAACGTGGATATTCACTTAATTTTAGCATAATACATTTCCTCCCTCAATGTGTAATTCTTTGTCCGACAAAGTGTTTAAGCATGTTTGTTGTCGTCTAGAATGTTCAAGGTAAATTTGCAGCAACATTATTGCATTGGGGCATGTCATATATAGCCATTTATACGTTGCAGTATATCCTGTACCCACACTTTTATTTGTATTTACCGGCGAAACGTCGTACTCGAATGGTAAATGTTGTGGGTTTACTCTCCAACACAGTGCTGTGCTCAACTCGTAACGAATTGACATATTTTGTTTACCTGACACACCTTACTAATTGACTATGTCGGGTGGTGGCGGGTTTAACGACACGTTTATATTTACGCGATCTAACCCAAAAACCTCTATTATGGATAATACCAGTAGCGAAAGCTACTGGTATTACTTTTTTTATACTTAACATTTTTAATGTTTTTTTCACTCGATTTTTTTTTCTTTAAAAACCAAAGGGTTTCAGGTAAGTGGCGGAGCGTGGATATGTGGAAGGCTGCGGTGTGCATGCCAGTGTCGCGTTGTCGGCGCTTCAAGAGACCCGACCTCTGGGAATCTTGCAAATCCACTCGAGGCGCGTGTCGCACCGCAGCTTGCGCCACTGCTTCCCCCGCGAGCCCAACGCGGCGCAATCCCGCACAGCCTCGTCGTCCTCCGCATGGCCCTCTTCAAAATCCGAGAACGACAGCTAAAGCCAGAGAGAGCAACTGCTTTTTTTTGTGTTTGGTTTGTTGTCCTTTCTGCACCTCCGATTAGTGGTGGTTGGCTAAGTACGGTGCGAAATAAATTTAGATTTAAAGCTTTCGTGACTGCACGGATTCATATTCTTGGTTCTTTCGGTAAAGTCACGTAGAAGGGAAAAAATAAAAAAATTCACACATTTTTTTTCAAATTTTCTTGCTGTGGATTTCACACCTGATGATGATTGCTTGTGTTGCAGTCGAAACGTCGTGAGCATTTTATTGTTTTATATTTTTATTATTTTATTATTTCCCTTCTACGTGACGTTACCGAAAGAACCAAGAATATGGTGCGAAAGAAGTTTAAAATACATATGTACGTGTTTGGTGTTTCATCAAAAACCAAAATAGTAATAGAATACATGTGAACATGTAATTACACCGATGCACACTTGCCACTTTCCTTCTCCTACCGCTGTTGTATACCATTCTGAGATAAAATATATGTCTCTACGTGTGCGAGGTAGGGTGACGTGACTGCCACTTACTGCAGTGCCATCACTCCATTTCCATGATTTGATAAGTCCCGGATTGCGGCTATTCAGTCCAATCCAGAGCCACCGCTCGTTTTGTTCTCCAGATTCTCTGAGGAATACAGTGTGGGAAGAGGTTGATAATGGAGAAGGGGAGATGCCATATGGAGATAAACGACAACTTAAGAAAAAGTCTGCACAACTTAGCTTGGCATGGTAGGGTGTGTTTGTTCAGCTCTATTGACATCGTGAAGATATGCATAAATGGTGATGAAAGCTAGTCTATGTCAGCAGCACAGTTTATAAATGCTCCCACACATTCCAAGTAGAGTGTGCCTGTTGCCACAGTGGATCAAGCAAATAGGTCACGGGCCAGCGTGGGCTCGACAGCCATTGGAAAAGCAAGTGCGGGCAAATCCCACAAATCTTGCGAGACAAGAAAGGCAAGACTGAAGAGGCAAGGTTCGGATTTCAATGCGAGCAACTCCAACTTCTTACTGGAGTGGGAGCATATCTGTGTGTCCTCCATGGGGCCGACAGTCACAGAATTTCACAAACCATGGAATTTCACAGCAGCCACGGACATGCCCAACCACCCTGTCCTCCACTTGTCCTCGCCCCACCTGAAGGTCATGATGACTATGAAGATGATAATGACTGTCTTCACAAAGGCGGTCACTATATCGCATTCTTTTAGATGCACTTCTGAGGCCGTCTGGAACGCTTTTCCATCGGATATTAGGAAGCCACTGGAGCTATGCACTTTTAAGTCGAGATTGAAAACTCGTTTCTTTAGAACTGCTTTTCGTGTTCAGTTTGTTGTCCTTCCCCTGCACTAAAATTAGCATGGTTGGCTACATATGGTGCAAAAGAAGTTCAACATACATACAGAGCTGTGTATTCTTTACATTTCACACGTAATTTATCTCGTATTTCAATGCACTGGTATCTTCAGTGGTATATACAGAACTCCTACGTGTTAGTGAATGTCCGCGCGCCGCCGTGCTTCTGACAATGTCACCCTGCGGTGCACCGCGTACCCCAGGAGGCCACGGATGAGCGTGGAGACGGCTCGACCCTCAGCTGGGTCCCTCAGGCTCAGCAGTGTGGCCCCCAGCTCTCGGCAATACCCCTCCGCTTCCTCCCATGACTTCATGTTCCCCGCATCTGCAAAGTGCAGCAACTGCAGACAAAAATGAAGACAAAGGACCCACGTATAACCTTAACAGACTGCTGGAGATCTTTCGATTTAAAGCTTTCGTGACTGCAGGGATTCATATTATTGGTTCTTTCGGTAAAGTCACGTAGAAGGGAAATAATAAAATAATGAAAATTAAACATAATTAAATTCTCACGACGTTTCGGCCACAACGCAAGCAGCCGTCCTTCACCTGAGGACGGCTGCTTGCGTTGTGGCTGAAACGTCGTGATAATTTTATTATGTTTAATTTGTATTATTTCATTATTTCCCTTCTATGCGACTTTACCAAAAGAACCAAGAATAAGACTGCTGGAGCTTCACGTGCTGTGAGCGAACACCTATTTTAGGAGAACCCTCAAATTAAGATCCTAAGCAGGGCTTTAATCCAGCCGGTGTGTGGCAGTATGCGTATCCAACTCTGGAAGCCCTTTTCTGATCCATGCTCAGATGTGAAAACCAACAATACAGCTGCCCTGAGAGCAGCTTCGCGCGAAACCGCACCAAGGCAAACAGCGCGCCTAAGACTTGCGACCTCCTTCACACTTCCGGGCAAGCAGCCACCCATCCATTTTAGAATGCAAGCACTGCATCGAAGCATCAAAGGATATATTTCTGAAGAGTATTGAGATTCACCCTGGTTAACAGTGTTTCAACTACAATAAGGTAACTGGGTGACTTAAGCAAAATGTACTTGTGATACTGCGGTGGCAGTGCTACATAAGCACAAACAACTCAATATGTTCGTCACTAACACTGTTTTTAAAGGAAAATATATGTTTCAAGCGACGAAGAAGGTCCATAGCTTGAAACATTGCCCATTGTATATTTTTCTCGACCACAGGCATCATCCCTTCCAGGCAAAAAAGGCCCCTGAACTTGCACATGTTCTCTGAGCCACACATTCCCCTTTCTGTGCTCTTTACATCAATTTCAGAAAAGAAAAAATTATTGGCAATGTGCTGAAAAAAGAACACTTTAAACAGTGTATATTACCTCCTATTGCAATGGAGATCACATATATTATGGTGGAACTTAATTTAAAAAGAAGACTGTCATGAGGGCAGTGGGTGGCACTTTAATGTTAATGTATCAGTAAGCATGCAAATCAAAGATATCGGGCCGAATCACGTTGACCGATGGACGGTTTTTACTCAAATTTGACGGGAAAAAACAAAACAAATTGCAAGCGGATATCGATGATTTTCCATGTAAATTTATCATAATAGCAGTTTCCTCCCTAAAAATAACCACAGCCATCACATAATAATAGGGTTTTTGAGCCTCGACCCAATTGGTGCTCGACCAATTGGGTCGAGGCTCAAAAGAAAGCCGTCCCTTGGTGTGGACCAATCAGTTTCAAGGACAATGCATATATTATTATAGTGTGTTTTTGTTTGCATTTTGACTGCAAGTATTGTGGTTAATGCAGACATGAATCCTTGTAAAAAGGTTTCAGTTTTGTTGCCAGAAAAAAGGGGAAAAACCCTATTATTATATTTTGGTACTGGCAAAGGAGGTCTAATGACACAGCCATCACGTTAGTTGGATCACATTATAGATTAAAACACGGATGTGGTTAAACGGTAGTAGGTGAGTGCAGTGGCCTACCGACCCTGTAGCAGTACGGAAGGGTGGCTATGGAATCCCATCGAAGTGGGCACTGCCCGGTGAGGCTGGGAGTGGGGTCCGGCGCGAGGGAGCCCCCTTGCTCTGTCCCAGATATCTTGCTCACTTTCTTGCACACGCGCTTGGCACGGAACGAGACGCAGTCGTGCACTTCCCACAGGCCAGCTGCTACCCCAGTCACCATGACCACGCACTCTCCCCTGTGAGCTGCACACAAGCATGCGCGCACATGCACTCTTTGGCATCACAAAGACATCATCATAATCATCGTGGCTAATACGAAAGTAAGAAATTAAGTAGGATGGGCTACTTTTGGAAAATAGTATTTTCATGAGAAATATGCTAAGGAATCTGAATTACTGGATCAATGAGTACTGTTAGCAACAACATAGGGCATGGAACATTGTCATTGAGAACAAAATGTCAACACACAATGAGCAACCTGGAAATAAAAGCTTCTTGCTTAAAATAAGTTGAAGGATCCAAGATAGGAGTCGTGAAAAAGAAAATTTTTTCAACGAGTTTTAAATAATAATGATAATGTCCATCAGCATTTTGCAAGAATATTTCAGTTATCTTGTCATGATTTTTTTTATTCCTTCCCTTTGTCAATACATACAATAATGCCTTCCCTTTGTGTCGGCTGTCGGGGTTTCGTGACTTCACCACACTAGTCAATGTGAGCTGTAAATCGGCTGGACATAACTAAATGAATATAGAAATGCCCATAAATCAATGTCCACACCTGTTGCCGTTCAAAAATGTGGAATGAAAAATAAACGTGTGCATAAGATATCGGTGATATAAGACAATAAAACCAAAAGCAGGAACATGTAACCAAATAAGAGGTGGCATAATCAGACAATGGTTAATGTTAAAAGTGCATTTGAATAGAAATTTGGCAATAGCAAGGCAAGGCCTTTATTTTGCATTGAAAGGGAAACTATGGATTATTTGTGAGTATTTAGATATCTACACAAGAATATGTGTATATTTAAAAACTATTTTTGAATAGACTTGCATATTAATATCCACGGGCTTTACAGAAAATGAAGATGTGTTTATATACTGAAAAACAATTAAAAAGAACGGTCAAAGTCCAATAAAAATTTGAATAAAAATTTTTACATCACAATTCATGACGCAGTTTTTTCTTGTCCACTACATTGCACGAATTAATTGTGTGCACCAAACTATTCTATTCACAACGGAAACGACAATTCTTTGCACTGGAACTGCAAAGTGATAGCGAGGACTGTGACATTTGTTATCATTTCAAGGTCGTTTACTGCGTGATGCGAACATCAGCATCAAAACGGCATGGAACAACTTATGGGCTTTGAGCAACGTGCCCGACAAACACCTGATGAGCGACCCCACCACCAGACTGCCTGGCTTCCACCTTCCACGGAAACAACAGCAGCACTTAACTGTCTTCGCACAAACGACGGAACCAAGTGGAAAATCAAGGCTCTCCTGTGCGAGACGTTGGCTACGAATTCAAAACCATGGCCTGTATAGCTTCACGCTGCCCCAATTTTCCAAGTGAAGGCGGTGCATCTGCAATTCACCAACTCTCAGGCAAAGCAATATAATGGCTACAATCGCTCACAAGTGAATGCCTAATAAATGCTCTTCACAGGCCCATGTGGAGGACGGTGATGGTATAAATCGTGACCGCGCAGTGGCAGCAGAGCAGGTGTGTGCACACACCTGGCTCATTTCGGTTCCAGTTGGTGAAGGTCACGTGCTCCCCACCCAGCCAGCGGAAACTGTCCAAGCCACCCGTGTTTCGCAGAGACGTCCAAAATGAGTCACCTACGCGTGGCCCAACCAGACTGCTCACAAACGCCTGCTCAAACCTGGAAAAACAAAACAAAACAGAGATCATAAACTTCACTGTCAGGCCTGTAGTTATTGATTCATCTTGCTTTGTTTGATTGTTTTAAATTGGTTTGCCACGACAAACCAGAGCTTCTCCCATTTTTGTTCTGCTCGGAGGGAGACCTGTGCCCTCCGATTAAGTAAATAATTTGAGGGGGGGGGGGGATCAGAGTTCATGTTCATGTCTGGGCTCTCACCAGTACCCCCGTCTCCCCCACCCCTCCCCGGGGAAGCTAATGATCCATCTAGTGGGTATAATTCTGCGAGCTAGAACTCTACAAATTCCAGTCTCAAAACGCAGACGCTAAATAAAATAAATGAATGCATGTTTCCAGTAAAGTGATACGGCGAGTCACATGGATGTTACAGAGACAGGAGAGACAGGAGCAGAGGGACAGATATTGGTAACAGAGCTGCTTAATGCTTCACAGATGACAGCCCAGAGATTAGTATCCTCACCGAAACCCAAAGACATTGAAGTAAACACCAGTTTGTACTTTTGTGAACAGCACCAAAACACATTGATATTGTGCTTAGAAACATATCAATCACACGACGTTAATCCGTGGAAAACAAAACATCCTCATACAAATGATTACCATGTTGGTGAACATTAACTCGCTATCAGGCCTCAACATTCCAACGTATTAAATTTGTATCTAGAGGGAAAAAGACACGTGCTTCTGCTCCTGTGTGCGCAGAGTCTGCATGGCGTGCACACAGGCCACATCAGCACCACCACTGCCAAGTGGGCTAGTAATCATTAAATCGTAATTCTGTGGATTAGTGCCAGGTTACCTTTTATGAAATAATTATTCCAGGTCCATTGTAGACACACGTATTTACTATTTCAAAATAACACATCAATAACACGTACATTAATGCAGGGTATTTAAGAGGGTTCGCTTTCAATAGAGGTGGGCCGAAATGACAAACCATAGGGTGGCACAGACAAGACAAACCATAGGGTGGCCTGGTGGATCAGGGGTCAAAGACAAAGACAAATATCCCTCGTATAGCATAAACAGACTATTGGGCAAGTGCTGTTCGTGAGCACCTATGAAGGTCAGCACATCACATGAGGGGTTGGGTGGCCGGCACCATGTCCGGCCGCCTATGTCTCCCTAGTTGGCAATGTTTACACAAGACACCAGGTTCTCATCTGAGGCTGAGTCGACCTAGGGTAGGCCCAGGACCAGTTCATGTAATTGTCACTGGTGCTGGCCATGAGCAGACGAGAACACACACATGCGTGAGCACACACACCAAGTGAGGCTGCAGGAGGGTGTAAGTAACCTGCTCATGACGGACACCAAGGTGGCCTGCTGCTGGGAACAGCGTGTCCACGCATTCTGGAAGTCGGTCAGCTCTTCGCCAATGAGGTAGCAGAATCCGTTGTGGAAATCCCAGCCCTACATGTGATAAACACAACTATGTTACAAGCGCATCGAAACATAGAAGCCACATAAGAACCCATCATGAGTCAATAAACATCAAAAACAAACATGTGGAAACCTGACATCTAAAAACATCAGTGTTTCATCGCTCAAATGAGCATTGGCCAGTGCTTATCTCCACTTACAGCCTTGAGCCAGTGGTGGAAATTCCACATTCCTATATTCTGTGCACATTATCCAAAACGGAAATTGAATTTTCCCAGCTCTAAATCCACTCAGGTTGTGCATGCGGTGGGGGTGGGGGGCATAAAGATGCATCACCACGCACATTCACGCGCAACATGGCATCAGACCGAACCCATGAACAACCTGAGTGGATTTAGAGCTGGGAAAGCTATTCTGACCAACTCTCGGAGTGGGGGCACTTGTAGGCATGCTTCCACATCTGGATTGTGTTAAGTTCAGAGCAACCGTGAGGATGAACACACACGTGTGTTTATGAGCACATTTTCTCTTCTACGACCCATGTGAATGCGCTGTTATGTTTTTATATTCGTAACCATCCTGCTTGTAGGTCGAGGTTACGTGTCCTTTCCCATCTCTAGAGTTTTCATCTGCACCAAGTATTATTCAAAGCAATTGCTGTGATATGCATGTTACCTACAGATTATGAATACTTTGTGAATAATTTGCACGTATTTACGTGCATATTCCCTGAGAACAAGCACAAACTCACTGTTGAATCACTGCACCATCAATGAGGTTTCTGCAGTGAGTGACATTTAAAAATGTTGTTTTTGTATCATGAGGCCTCCTTTGCCAGTACAAAAATATACTAATAGGGGTTTTCCCCTTTTTTCTGGCAACAAAACTGACACCTTTAACAAGGAATCATGTTCACATTAACCACAATATTTGCAGTCAAATGCAAACAAAAAACAATACTCTGATAATTTATGCATTGTCCTTTAAACTGATTGGTCCACACCAGAGACAGCTTTTCTTATAGCCTAGTCTCACATGGTGTTCGACCAGATGACGCCAAAAAACTGCAAGTATTGTGGTTAATGTAAACATGATTCCTTGCAAAAGGTGTCAGTTTTGTTTCCAGAAAAAAGGGGAAAAGCCCTATTAGTATCAAGTTGTTTTTGTATCATAATCAGAAAAAAGAGCATTTCCCACTATCATTGTAATTTTTTATGTAAAGGGCATTAGATGTGTGGTGTAAGAGATATACTCTCTTGTCCAGAGTGCAAATTTCATTGAGGGAATCCAACAATGTTAATTTTATAGCCATAAAAAGGAAATACGTAGGGATTCTGTACAAATTGCAATGATTCAGCACAACTAATCATTTGGCTCAAAAGCTGAGGTTCAACAGTTCACCATTGTTGAATATATCTTAAATATGATCATTGGTTTTTTACCCTTATATCTGGCAACAAAACTGACACCTTTTTACAAGGAGTCATGTTTGCATAGACCGCAATACCTGCAGTCATAATACAAATGAGGTTCCCATAGTAATATCTTAAATAGTCTACGAATCTGTTGAGATGTGTAAAACTTTTACAACTTGTCATGAACATTGCCACTTATGTTAGGAAACGACCAATCATAACCCAACTTTTAAATAATTCACAATTCATAACTTCATGGCTTTCTCACCTGATGACGGACGCTTGTGTTGCGCCCGAAACGTCGTGATCTATTTTATTTTATAGCTACGTGACTTTACCGAAAGAACCAAAGAGAATGCCTCCTTTCCCCCTGACTTACCATAATTCTATTATTCTGTACAGCCTCTTGAGATACGGTTGACTTGATTCAATTAAAAGCAAACACAAGTCCAAACTGCCTCGTAAATCGTTTATTTCTCAAATTCAAAGCAAATATGTTCTACTGCCGATGTAAATAGCCTTGGCAAAGTGTGTATCTCCTTGGCAGACTCTTCCTATTTGCTTTTAGTCCCTCTCTTGATTGTAAAAGCAGCCTGGTGAGCACTGGCAGATGAGAATGCTGTTCTGCGCACTACAGGGGCGCTAAGACCAGCTGTGCCAATACAAAATTCAGCAAGGACCCCTGTGTGAACTGCAGTGCCCTTAATGTCAACATTGAGTAGGTCAAGGAATCCCTTTGTGTCAACTATTCAAGGTCTCCTGGCTTGCAGCAAATAATTTTAGCTACTGCCACAGCTCAGCATAAGGGCAAGTTCAGTGAACTCATAACAGGTATCCTGGGAATCACATCAAACTGCCTTACAGCTCCAAGACAAATAACTTACACTTGAACATTGACTAAATTCGATTGGTCAAACCCCAGGTCATCAGAGATGTCTCTGCCCGCGACAAATTCATCACAGCAAGCGATCACAAACTGGTGCGATGGAATCTTCTTGGTTCTTTTGGTAAAGTCACGTAGAAGGGAAGTAATAAAATAATAAAAATAAAACATAATAAAATTATTATGTTTTATTTTTATTACATGACTTTCCTGAAAGAACCAAGAAGATAAATCCCTGCAGTCACGAAAGCTTTAAATCGAAGTTTGGTCCGATGGAAGTTTCACTTCCGCACAGCCAAAGAGAGGCCAAAACTTATTACAGGCAAAAAAACAAGATAATTAACATACTCTTTGGTTCTTTCGGTAAAGTCACGTAGGTATAAAAAATAATGCTGAAGTTTCAGCGATTTTCTTGCTGTAGTTGTCTCACCTGATGACGGACGCTTGTGTTGCGTTCGAAACGCCGTGATCTATTATATTTTCTACCTACGTGACTTTACCGAAAGAACCAAAGAGTATGGATTCCTGCAGTCACGAAAGCTTCAAATCAAGATAATTAACATAAAAAAATCTAGGTGAGTTAATTTTAGACTAACGCTAAGAAAGATATTGAAATGCATATAGGAGCAACGCGATGAAAAGTTACCACTTGAAGTAACGGAATTAAATGTTTTATTTATTTTTGGAATTGTATATTTATGTTCTTGCTATTTGTTGTGTATACAGAACTTTTCATTTGTATGTTAAAAGAGCCTGCCTCGTGAAGGTGGCTCTCATTTTCAAATCTGTAAATTACGAGAAAAGCCGACCATTACAGGAAAAAAACCTTCTCGTTATCCATTTTGTCATCTCTCTCGTTATCCCTCTCGTTATCTCTTTTGTCATCTCTCTCGTTATCCCTCTCGTTATCTCTCACCTTGGGGCATTCCGTTGTGCCGCCGCCCTCCTGCGAGTCGGGCTGGGCGTCTGACAAACTTCCCGGTGCCCGGCACACAGCCGCCTTCTTGGCATCGCATGGTCCATCTTTCCAACGACCTTCCTGCCAAGCACATTTTTGAGAAATAAGAGCAAATGCTCGCTCACCAGACACAAAATACTTCACTGGCTGAGTGGCTGAAATGCAGAGCAAAAATCATAACATGTTGTGGTATAATCATGCAGATTGTGCAATTCAAACTTTCATCACAGCAAGCACCTGTGTGTTTGCCTGATGGTTATGGAATTGATACCGATGGAGAAGATATCATTACTTTAAAGTGTTAAATTGTCATTTTACAGGTTCCTTTATGCTTTCATACGGGAGATTGCGTCTTTAAAATCGTATGCCCCATGCCATTGTAGTATTCCTATACATTTGTATGTTCAGTCATGATTCTAAAATAAATGCTGAATCAGACCATATAATATACGGTCAAATTAATATGAAGACCTAGTGAGAATACATTATTTACTTTCTGATGTCTAACAATGCAGCTGATCAATTTATGTGATAACCAAATTCATCTGTCAATAAAGAAGCTCCTCTGTTTCCTGCAAGTTTAATTTTAGGTAGAGTGGGGGTTAGAATAAAGCTGTTTTGTTTGAAAATATCCACGATATATGGACATCTCTTTCAACACTAAAATAGGGCCCAAAATATTTCAGTCATGACTTTATATTTTTGTTGAATGGAACAATGATAAAGATGAATGTTCACTTTAGGAGTTTCTATTATGTACTGTAAGATATTGTAAATATATATGTAACAGTTGTTTTCAATTCTATTTCTGATGCTTTGCAGCAGAAATATTTATTTATATATTTTCATACAGGTCCCTGTGCAGAAGCGATGTATAATTCCACAGGTTCTTACTTGGCTGTTGAATAATCACTGACAATGCTGCAACACACCTTTGCTGAGACATCGTACCAAATACAAGAGGTCAAATTCATGCAACGTTTTACACACTCTTTTGGAAATTCCGCAAATGCGTTTCTGCCTGATTCATGCAGAATTTTTTGGCCCCATTCTGCAAAAACATCCTGCAAAACAAGCAGCAGCTGTGGGGAAGGTCTTCGGCTTCGGGGATTGGAGCTGTGTGTGTATTATCAACAGGCTCTCCCTCCTCATGCATCGAGCCAGCCAATCAGGCTCTGTCTGACTCACACATGTACACACAAACGAAATGTGTGCCGAGGCTTGCACTGCTCTCCACCTAGCATAAAGCCAAAGATGGCAACTTTAAAACATTATGACAATGATGATGAATATGATGGAGATGACAATGATGTATGTGAAGATATGGTTGATAAGGATGATGACTATAAATACAGTGGTTATAATGATGAAGATGATGACCGTGAAGACAAATGAGATACGTGTGTTGTCAAAGATCAAAGACAGTGACAAAGGCTGTAAAGACAGCAAACCTGCCTAACAGCAATGCCGAGTACAGTAAAACCTTGGATTGCGACCATAATTCGTTCCGGAAACGTCTTTGTAATCCAAAGCACTCGTATATCAGTTGTGATCACGTGACGCTCGGCAGACAAAGCGTATACACGTACTACTCGTATTGCAAGACCTCGCTCGTTTATCAAATTAATATTTATTTACAATTTTTGCTCGTCTTGCAAAACACTCGCAGACCAAGTTACTCGCAATCCAAGGTTTTACTGTAAAAGGAGCCTGAGGCTCCTTTACTTTTGATAATAATAACTATCTACATCAATATGTCAATCCACTGCTGGATGAAAACCTCCTCAAGCCATGCTGATGAGAGGTTGTTTTACTAATACTTGACCACACTATGCTCCGCACACAGATAACCAAGAGATAAATGTCGAGTAAGTATATTACACAAGGACGTTTACAAACATTTGAGTTACCTTGCCCCAGAGAGAGACGCAGCCCTCTCCTGGGCGGCTGTGTGGATGGCGAGGATGCCAGAACGTGAAGGTGACCGGCGTGAAGTCAGACCATTCAAACACCATCTTCGTCTTGAGGTCATTAAGACCCAACCACACCTCTTCACTATCTGCAGCAGCAGCAGCAGCAGAAAAGCTCACTCACTCGCCCATCATGCACATGCTCTACGTGATTCTAGATTGCGTCATTTATTTGCATTGAATTCTGAGAAGAGAGGATATCTTTTTTTTCTTCAAAAGTTGCAAATGCTAATATATTGGAGGAACATTTTAAGTGTACTGTAATTATGGGTTTCATCCATGTAGGTAGTTAGAGTACAAATGACGATAATAATATTATGATGCAAGTTTAGCCAGAAAAGCCTGATTTTGAACTCTGTTTCAGGAAGGTCCTCCCAATATCTTGTTGTCGTAGGCGATGATGCTACGTGTACTCGCAATGGAGTTTTTTACAGGTCATTTGTCAGCATTGGAATATTTGGCCAATGCTAGTGACAGTGTATGTTTTAGCTATGGGAGGAAGCTGGAGAACTGGAATTAAACCAATGCAGAACAGTCGGGAGATCATACAAACCCCACACAGAAATGCATCGGAGTCACGAGTCTAACCAGGCAATTCTTGTTGTGAGGCACAAGTGTCACCACTTCACCAACCATTTTCTCATAATACATACAAGTAGGCATGAGAAAACATTCGTGCATTGAATAAACGTGGATGATTTATCATTGAATTTTTCTCAAAAGAGAAGTACGGTGCAATAATAATTTGCATTTGTAAGGCGCATTACATCCATAGATCCCAATATGCCTAACCAAATTGATATTTTATTGCCACTGAGCAATAGACCCACATGGACCCACAGCAAACAAGACCACTTGCTGCTCCCTTGTAACTTCCCATTCCTCTGCTGCCAAGTTAATTCTCCTGTATACTCATTATCCATCTTATGGACCTTAACATATTTGACCGGTAAGATGTTAAGCACCTCAAAAGGGGAACAACATTAGCGGGAAATATGTTAGCACTGCTTGGAAGGTGGAACACCTTTCCAATGATGATGAGCTGGTTTTTGTAATGGGGATTGTTCAGTTTGCAAGTGAGGGCGTGTTAATGCGTTTTACCAACCACTAAGCACATGCTGAACTAGGAAGTCGACATCTGCCAAGCCGTGTAGGCTCAGAAGGTCGCCACCTCCTAACCGGCATCGTGCCAATGCATCCTGCCACGTTCGTTTCTCTGCATCGCGCCAAAAGCAGCTTCCGTTGAATGGTACCCAGCCGCGAGGGCACACGGTCGGTCGATTCTCCCAGCTCTCTGTAACGACACCACAATCAGTTACCTTTCGAATTCACTCCCATCAGAAGTGTAAAAGCTCCTTCTTGGTTCTTTCGGTAAAGTCACGTAGAAGGGAAGTAATAAAATAATAAAAATAAAACATAATAAAACAATTCTCACGACGTTTCGGCCACAACGCAAGCAGCCGTCCTCAGGTGAAAACCAGGTCCGTCGAGGCGACAGAGTCTGAATGAAACAGCACACGAGCTTGGAGCATATATATAAGCTGGGCGCATTGACAAAGGAATTTGCATATCAAAAGGAATTTAGCATATTTATGGGAAATGCAGGAATGTGATTAGTACTGCATATGCATGTGCATTATGCAGGATTAACAGCATCAAAGGGAGCTGCAGTTACTACTGCTGCTGCAGTTGCTGCTGCTGCAGTTTCTGCTGCTGCTGCAGTTGCTGCTGCTGCTGCAGTTACTGCTGCTGCTGTTACTGCTGCTGCTGCACTTGCTGCTGCTGCTGCAGTTGCTGCCTTATCCATTTTAATATAACACTATGTATTATTCTACCCACCCTAATGTGTATCACACTGCTATATGTTTACTATACAATTACGACACCATACATTACTCTGCACACTGCACCATGCCAGTGAGTGGAACGCGGTCTGAAAGTCACCGTAAACGTGAACACAATCAGTTAAGATCCGAAATGGTTTATTACGTCCTTCCAATGATTGCTAAGCCAGAATCCATCTTCTCGGTTGAAATTGTCTCTGTGTTTGTATATGTGGATCGCCTCATGAACGAATCTCTCATGATAGCCAGATGGCTTGCAGAGAACCTCTGTCTTGGAGAAGTCAATATCATGTGAGCCCACTGAGTTGTAACAGTGATCTGCCACGGCTGAGGTGTTTGTCCTACCGTGTTTCAGGTCTGCCTTATGTTCACGGATGCGGTCCGAGACATGTCGTTTGGTTTCTCCAATGTAACTGCTACCACAGAGGCAACTTAGTTTGTAGACGCCAGGGTACTGTATGTCTGGAACCACATCTTTTACAGACGGGACCAGATCACGGATTTTATGTACTGTGTTGAATCGGACCTGGATCTTGTGTTTAATCAGGATTTTGGAGATCTTTTTTGTGACCCCAGCAATGTAGGGTAAGGTGATGGTCTTGAAAGGCTCCTCAACAGGATCCTTCTTGATGGTTGGAGTGATGGCTTTGCGGATTGTGTAGTCGGAGTAACCATTAGCCTTAAGAGCTTGGCGTACGTGTTTGAGTTCACTGGAAATGTGTTCATGGTCGGAGATGCATTGGGCTCTATGATATAGAGTCTTGATGAGGGAATTCTTCTGGGATGGATGGTGGTGGGAATCCGGTTTTAGATAAGCATCCGTGTGGGTGGCTTTCCTGTAGACAGAGTGGCTCATTGAACCATCAGGTCTCCTTTTGATTAGGACATCCAAAAAGGGTAGCTTGCCATCATTTTCGACTTCCATGGTGAATCTGATGGCTGGGTGTATGGAATTGATGTGGTCGAGAAATTGGTCTAGAGCAGGCCGGCCATGGTGCAGTGTGCAGAGTAATGTATGGTGTCGTAATTGTATAGTAAACATATAGCAGTGTGATACACATTAGGGTGGGTAGAATAATACATACTGTTATATTAAAATGGATAAGGCAGCAACTGGAGCAGCAGCAGCAAGTGCAGCAGCAGCAGTAACAGCAGCAGCAGCAACTGCAGCAGCAGCAGCAACTGCAGCAGCAGCAGAAACTGCAGCAGCAGCAACTGCAGCAGCAGCAGTAACTGCAGCTCCCTTTGATGCTGTTAATCCTGCATAATGCACATGCATATGCAGTACTAATCACATTCCTGCATTTCCCATAAATATGCTAAATTCCTTTTGATATGCAAATTCCTTTGTCAATGCGCCCAGCTTATATATATGCTCCAAGCTCGTGTGCTGTTTCATTCAGACTCTGTCGCCTCGACGGACCTGGTTTTCACCTGAGGACGGCTGCTTGCGTTGTGGCCGAAACGTCGTGAGAATTGTTTTATTATGTTTTATTTTTATTATTTTATTACTTCCCTTCTACGTGACTTTACCGAAAGAACCAAGAAGATGAATCCCTGCAGTCACGAAAGCTTTAAATCGAAGTGTAAAAGCTGTTTCCTCTGATATTTTTATAAATTCTGACTTCAATCACTATGACGTAACATGTAGATCGAATTGCCTAACTACTTAACAATACGCAGGACGGCTGCTTGCGTTGTGGCCGAAACGTCGTGAGAATTATTTTATTATGTTTTATTTTTATTATTTTATTATTTCCCTTCTACGTGACTTTACTGAAAGAACCAAGAAGATGAATTCCTGCAGTCACGAAAGCTTCAAATCGAAATAGCACATCTGTCCGTCTTATGGAATGCAATGAGTGTGAATCAAGCTGCAGATTATTTTGCAAATATAAATAAGCATTGGCCAATGTCAAGTGATTTAACATGCACAATTTTCCAAAAATCTGTTAAGGAATGTAATGCAATATATCTTCATGAGAATGGTTAGTGTAACACGTAGGCTTTCGCGACCAATATCATCCATAATACCGTTTTTTTAGGCTAGATCGCGTAAATACGTGATGGTTAGTCAATTGAATAAGAAATATGTAGCACCCAATAATGGGTAAACATCCTCTACGAGTTTTGTATCTTTAACCCCCGGCCATCACCCCCCTCTGGGGACGTAGTGTGCTGCCCAAGTCCACTTCACAGTCAATTTGATGTCTCCACCTTGTTTTTACTATCCCATTAATGTGTGGTCCTCAATGTAATTCCAAGTATGCACATTCTCCATCGCTCTTTGTGTACTGCTCAGTTTTTGTTCTACTAGAATTTGTTTGATACTGTCCAAGCTTCATATTAGATTTTTGGGTTAGGCCACGTAATAATTTGGGGAAAATGTATGTTGTGAAGCCCTCCAACACCTGATATGGCCAAACAAAAAAATATGTCGTGTGCTGTACAACCATTTAAAAAGCCAATGATTGTTTAATTTCAACCGGTCAGTTACACATTCATTCTCACAACTAACTTCAACAATGAGAATGCGCCAACCATCTTCAGGTCAAAACCCAAGAAGTCAGGACATTCACTTCCATGCCTCTGATTGATATATCACAAATAAGTAATTAAAATAAAATAAAAAAACCACGACGTTTCGATCGCAACACAATCGGTCTTCAATGGCGGAGCCAGGATTTTCAGGTAGGGGGGGCAACCCCTCCAGCAATGAAAAATCACAAGAGTTGTTAGTAAGTAAGGACTTGTCCCTTGCTTTTTATTCGACGCGTGTGCGGCGATGGCGCAGCCATCGATCGAGGGTCGAATTCGAACCGTGTGTGATCGGCATCGAGCTCGCTGAAGGTGTTTGCCTTCAGGGAAGTCGTGGACTGTGTACGCAACTGCGCACAATTCTGTGAGTCACTTATAACTGCTTTGCCGTTACTTATTGGCAAGTATGGACTCAGACTATTGTCCTATCATCTCATAGTCCCTGGCACTTAATAATGTGCTCCAGAGTGGCAGTGGGAGTCGCAAAATGCAGATTTATTACTAATAAACCCAAAATTAGGGATTTCGATCGGATCATTGGGGGGGCACGTGCCACCCCCCCCCCCCCGCACTGGCTCCGCCAGTGGTGGTCTTCATCAGGCGGATAAAGACCGCTTGTGTTGCGATTTGTAAACAATTATTTAATTTATAAAAAATTCAGCCTCGGTTTGTGACAGATTAAATGGCTGCGTAAATGTCCACAGAGTGAAATGCCTCATTTAAATGATTGCACATTGAGATAATTGTGATAACAGGCACACACCGTTGGGTATCTGTACGGAGGTGATATTGAGGCGTTTCTTGCAAACATAGGGCAGTGCAGCCGCACACTCCTTGGTTTGCCACTTGCTGAAAAACTCGGCACGGAGAAGGGCACAGTTCTGTCCATCCGTTTCTGAAGGGTGTCCTGCAGGAGCACAACATTTATACAAACAATGAGACACCGACAAAGATCTCCCATATAGCCTTTAACAGACTGTAGGAGCAAGTGATGTTAGCGAGCACCTATGAAGGTTGGCACGGCACACGAGGGGGTGGGTGCTCAATACCATGGCCGACCACCTTTGTCTCCCCAGTGGCGATGTTTACATACCACACCAGATACTCATATGAGGCTGAGTCGGTCTGGTGGAGGCCCAGGACCAGTCCAGATAATCGTCACTGGTGTCAATCGTGAACAGATGCAGGGTTCACAGCGCAGCATGCTAACCATTATGCCACCGCTCCCCACATACACACATTCAAACACTATGCTACGGAATTTCAAATGTATCGTGCGAGCATACTGTCAAAGGGAACTGACGTGGTGAGGAAGCGGAAATCTGAAACAAATACAACTGCTTGCACCTTGGTCCCAGTTAAGGAGCTTTAACGGAGAGCCATCAGACCACTGCCAGCCACCATCCGAGTCCAAGTCATTGAGTCCAATCCACATAATTGCTCCAAAACCATTCAGAAAGCCTGCACACAACAGTGAAGTGATTGAGGGAAAATGACAGTTGATGGAAGAAAATAAGTAAGACACATTTGCACCTGAAAATGTCGTAATGCGTGGCAAAATTATCCACTGACACGATACACCAAGCAGTACATTTGCACGATGCAAATTAGCAGTTACTAGGGGCCGTCCATAAATGACGTCACGCACATGGGGGGGGAGGGGGATCAGACATTTGTGACGATGTGTGATGAGGGGGTGGGAGGTTTGAGAAATGTGACATCACATCAAAATGCGCAACTTTAAATAAATATAGACAACGCGTTCTACTTAATTAAATAGACTTTTTAATCAATGTTTTCTCCTACAACATCAGAGTGCAGCGCCATATTAAATACGCACTACAATGACAATAGTTTAAAGCGATTTGAAGCATGTTTTATTTTGGGGGGGGCAGAGCTTTGTGACGTCATATTTGAGGGGGGGTCTGACTTTTTGTGACGCCGTGTGACGAAGGGGGGTGGGGGTCAAAAATCGTCCAAAATCGCGTGACGTCATTTATGGACGCCCGCCTATCAGATGCACTAGAACATTGGCTGAGTACAGTTCAGCGTTATGGTGTGTGGCTTTCTATAGGGTGTTAGTATTTGCATTTTGTAATTCATAAAAGAGACTGAATGACTACATGAAATGCATTCCCATGTTCTACAGAGTGTGGGTACCACGCTAGAAATAATAGCGAATTAAGGTTACTGATAATGGCAGTAATTTATAATCATTGTAGAGGCATACATATCATATCAGGAGATAATGCTTCTATTTTGTAGCTGCCAATACGTGGAATGCCCTTACCTTGGGCCCTACGAAGAGCTCATTGCATTCCAGCCATTTAAAATAAATATTAAGGCATTTATTCATTGATTTATTAAGGATTGTGGTCAAAAGTTAGACATTAACTATGTGTGTTTTCTCTTGTAGATAATAAACTGGTCCATTACGTTCTGCGCTTTGAGACCTGGGTTATGAAATGTGCATGAAAAATTATGACGATGTGAATTTTAAGTGACGTTGCAATGGAATGTATTGGCACTGACAACAGCAAAAAAGCCAATGAGATTTTGTTTTAGTTCTGTTTAAAGTGAACCCTTTATGGAAAGGTGTGTATACAAAGTGTATTTACGGATATCCATCCTTCAGTGTGAGCCAGTTTTCCAACAGACTTACAACAGAGTTATTCGAAAGAGTTTACCATGCGTGTTCAGCGAGCAATCGTGATGGACTGGACTCATAAAGAGTGCGCGACAACAAACGTTCAAAATGTATTAATGAACAGCAGTGGCATTGTAGTGAGATCTCGGGATGTCACTGTGTTGTGCCGGCCCTAGAGAGACACGGCGTGCGATATGGTGTGGATGTAGTACCAGCCCTAGAGGGGCTCGGTGAGCGCTAGTTGATAGCGCTAGGTGGCACCGCGCTTGGCGTGCAGTGCCAGCCCTACAGGACAGGGTGTGTGTGTGCCGGGGTTACTAAAGGCCATGGCACTCTGGTTGACCCCAGAGTGGCACGTGACCGTTTAAGTCTACACAGGGCCCCCAAGTGGGGGCTAGGGATGGTCACGTGTCAGGGTCGAGATCCTGCTCGAGGATTCTCGAAGGTGGTCGTGGCCAAGGGCGGACCCAGCCACGCCACAGAAGATATAAGCCACCGGGTCCCCCAGAGGGACCGGCTGCTGTTGTTCATCTGAAGAAGCCTTCGTCTACGTCCTACGTTCTACCGAGTCTCCAACACGTTGACCTGGACCTGAGCTGTGGTCCAGTCCATTGTAGCTAGTTATGTTGTAATTAGTGTAGTTAGCCTGGTGGTCACCACCATAAGTCGTTATTCTGTTGAGGGGCAGCTACCCCGTGTGTTGGTGTTAAATAAATGTGTTGCCTCCAAGAGTATGTCTGCGACTCAGTTGAACTCACCACAACATTAATAACGAACGTGTAAACAAAGCAGAGCACCAGAAGTTGAGTGCTTGCTGGTGTCAATGCCCCTTACCAGCAATGTAGGTCTGCTCGTGCATCTCCGTGATGCTAAGGAGGTCGGAGCCTTGCTGGAGGCAGCTGGTGCGCGCCTCGTGCCATGAAAGCACAGCATGCACATTAAACTGGTAGCAGTTTCGAGTCACAGGATCCGTGTCCCAGAACACACTGCAGTCCGGAACTGCAAAAGCCATTGAATTACAGTGACAGGCATGACTATATGCATCTAATAAACAGCCAAATTTGAAAATCCAGAATCTGTTAACGATAGAATATCATCAAATCATCTACCAATAATTGAAAATGGCAAGATGCAGTGTAAAAACACTGGGGAACTTGATTTATAAAAAAAATGTATACAGAAATTCAATAAAAGCGGCACGTTGCTTTGATTAGAAAATATTGGAGAGCCACACAAAACAATGAACACAGCAGCTATTTGCACCCCATCATATGAAAGGGCATTATATTCAGAATATTACAGTAACCGTGCTGGTGAGACACTGCTGTATACAATCCTGAGGCAACAGAGAGGAAGTAACCGCAAGTTGTGAGACACCTTGCTGTATGGTTATTAGATTAAAACAACGACAACCGCCACAAACTAAATGTCGGGAATACTCCCACACGTTCAAAGGTCCACAATGCAGTAGAAAAACAACGCAATGGCATCACTGCAATCATAGCTACCCAAGAGTTCATCACAGGCTAAATTTATGTTTAAATAATTTAAATATTAGTACATTTTCATTTATTTTGTTCCTCTGTACTAAGCACAAACACGTTTAGGTGATTACTCTGTGTGTTTAAATGTAAATCCCAATCATGCGAACCAAGTTCTTGTTTACATGTAGAATTTCGAAAATGTGCCTATCGGTCAGGTTTCTGTGATTTCAAATATTATTTCTGCAATTAGGTTCAGAAACTCATCTTGACAAATGTTGATTTTTTTTAAATCGAACTTTTCACACGCAAAAATCCGCTCTTTCTATTTTCTACGACTGGCAATATCACCTTGTTGTTGTTATTTGTAACGAGCAATTTTAATAAGCCAACCAACCACATAGTTCAGTTGAATATTTGTGTAAAAACTATCTGAAAGAAAACCTTTGTATGGCGCAGAGGATGTGGAATACCAGTCATGACTTAAAACAAATGTTTGTAGCACATACATTGGCTTTTTGGGGGCTTTAAATGCAATATATGTTTAAATGTCAAGTTAGAACACATCACTTTTATTAAAACACTTCAATGTGAATGACACCATTTTTATATCACGGTTTTTAAACATAAAATAACATTAGCAAAGAGCTCATAATGGCCATGATGAGGTCACAAGGGAGTCTAAACTATTTTGCCTGTAAGTGACTTGTTGTCACCTATACTATCTGAGAAGTGAACAGCCAAAATGGATGGAATGTCAACATAAAACACATTGTAGTGCCCAATGGTAAATAAGTTGCCTAATGGCCCTGTATTTGTAATTTGAGTGTAATTAGTGGACAGAAAGGGTGTTTACTCACGCTTGACAGGACAGAAGCCCCAAAGTTCATCGGTGCCATAGTCGGCTGATGTGGCGCACCACAGATGCCAATCATCACGCCCATCCCCTGTGCAGGAGTGATACCACCGGTGGTCATACTTGTACGGGATAGCGCATGGCCGACCATGGGAATTCCCTTGGATAGTATATATTTCTGCATGGGAGGAAGCGTGGGATCAGAAATCAAAATAACAGAGTGTACAATTGCCAAAGAAGAGATTAAAGGAAGGGATACAGTATGAAGACTGAGATGTGTATTCTCAGCCGTTCTCACCACGGTACGGTCGTAAGCACAGGTGATCCTGAGTGCCATAGATCAGCAGTCGCGTTCCATTCTTAGGGTGCAGCTCAAATGGAGCCTGGGCACCAATGGCTCCATGCAGACTGAGCTTCCCTCTGTGTGGAATGATCAGCTGCTCATCATCTCCACATGCCCAACGCAGCTGCATTTCCTCCACATCGCATTCATATAAGGCTGGGTGCTCAGTCTTCTAGCACACGTCACATACAACCCAAAACAAACTCTATTATACATAATATAAGAGTAGACACATACATGTATACATGAACATGTCTATCTCTCATAAGCAAAACTGCCCATATTCCTGGAGGCCTGGAGTAAAATTACACATGAGGCCCCCTCTTATTCATTAGTGACAAAAAACGAGTCTCATTATGGGGCCTTCCTTAGTGTATTAAGCAAATGCCATGGCATTGTCAAATATTGTTGGTGACAGCGCTGCATCTTTAAAGACGGGCCCCGTTAAACCCAAAGAAGCAATTATGTGTCCTAAATATTCTTGTCACCTGATCATCTTCAGAGTCCGTTTCTGATGCGTTCAAGTTGGGTGATATACTTGCAATACTGCTACTCGGTTGCACCGGAGCCACCCCGAGACAGCGAGACATCCCCAAGTTGAAAAGTCGCTGTCGAGACACCCATTTCCACTGCTGAGCAGGCTCCGATGAGTTACAGCTCCCTACCAAGCCCAGCCCTGAGGACTCTCCCACGAGGCATCCACCCACGTCCGGAACTTGGATTGCAAATATATCTGAATATTCCTCTCCTGCGGATGAAAAATTATATATATTTAAAAAACAAAGCACTTAAGACAATTACGGTACATACTTGCTGTTTTGTACATTAATGTATATTTTTTTGTGAAACCAGTCGGGCAATACCATTTTTTACATCCAGTATTCCTATAGTAATAATCACCACTACCGATATTTCATTAATATCTATTTAATATATGTTCAAACTATTTGGGGGAAATCAGTCACATGTATTCCCACGTGCGCCACTGAATGGGAGGCGATGGGGCTTGGTGACATCACCGACATCATGAGCAAGGGCTCGGCTTGTCGGGAGTTTTCCGTCTTCAAAAGACCGCGATGAAAGTAGTTTATGTGAGTCGATTAATGGTGCCGTGGTTTAATGGTTCGCACCCCGGACTGGCAATCCAGAAGTCGCCAGCCAGTTCGATCTCCCGAGGGACGTCGTAACTGAAACAATGGGCGCAAGTTTCTTAAATTTCTTGCCGTCTGTTCACAAAGCAGAATTAAATGGGTACACCAGTTTGTCGATCTGCAGATCGCGCGTGGTGGGGTAAAGCATGGGTACTCGCACCACTTCCAAGACGTCTGTCCAGCATGGAAGAGTAGGCCAAATTCCCTTAAGAGAGGCTTCTCTGAAGCTCACACTGGTAAAGGTCCTTCTGCCAGCAGCGTGTCTTGCTGGATGACGCTGCTGCTGTATCGTAGCGAGCCATTAGCGGCCACCATCTGTGCTTGGTTAAGTCTCTGCAGTCAGCGGCTTTGCATTTCTCTTGCAACGCGACTATATTGGGGGGGGGGGGGGGGTGGACACATCCCCTTAAGAGGGGCCACATCCCCCCCCCCCCAATATTAAAATATGCTGAAAATGCCCCCCCCCCCAATATATTGCTATAAAATAGATTTCTGTTTATATGATTGTGGTTATGGTTTGACTTTATTAATTCCTACTCTCTGCCATTACATACAATGCAACAAGAAAAGGTAAAAAAGGAAAAAACAGCAATGTAATACAATACACTATTAGACATTGTTAGAAATAAAGAAAAAGTCAATCCCATGTGTTAGTTAATTTTTTCATATTTTAGGCAGGAAATTCGTTTTCAAATTTAGATTTTTTTTCTGGGAGGGGGGGGACCCCCAGACCCCCTGGAAGATTTGGTCCCCCCCCCCCCCAATGTTGACTCCATGGCTACGGCCTTGCAACCACCTTATTGTCCTCATCATCCTTGCACAGCCATACCCAATGGCAGCCCGACCACTGGCATCTTTCGTCATTAATACTGGACAGCCAAAACGTCTACGCATGTGGACTGCATTTAAACTCCGGGGGGCCACGCTCTTGCAGCGCAGCGCATCGACCGTGATCACCATCGCCCCTATTGGCGATGCGCTCTGCCCCACGCTCACGTTATTTGTTGGAGAAGAGAGACGCATGGGGAGGAGGAGGAGGATGGGGGCGATTGGGCCCCGCGTTCCGCCTATGGAGCGGACACTTGAGAAGGGGCTGCAGCAGCAGCAGCATCCTGGCCATGTGCACATCAGAGCACCTCCCCCCACGGATACTCAGCCACACTGCCCCCATGTGTAACCCACATTCCTCTCGGCTGCCATTCATTATATCTTCCCTTTAGTGTGTGATGGGGGGGGGGGGAGTACCCGAGTTCCAAGTATTAGGGGCGGAGGGGGGTATCTTCTCCAATGTTATAATTAATGGGGGGGGGGGGCTCATTTCACGATCCCCATGCATGAAATGTAAATGTCCGGATTCCTCCTCGCAACGCGTTTTATTCTCACGCTCAGATGAAAGTTATCTGCCGAGACCTGTGTTAACCTGGCCGCCCTTGTTGAAGTGCGTGTGTGTGAAGCCGTGTGTGGAGGGTTAGGAGTGGGGGGGGGGGATGCAGCCCCCCACTTTTGTGAAGCCGGGTCGGTGTGTGCGGTGGTGGTGGTGGGGAGCGGTGGTGTGGTGTGTCGTGGTGGTGGTGTGTGTGGTGGTGGTGTGTGTGGTGGTGGTGTTTGTGGTGGTGGGGTGTGTGGTGGTGGTGTGTGTGTGGTGGTGTGTGTGGTGGTGGTGTGTGTGTGGGGTGGTGGTTGTGTGTGGTGGTGGTGGTGTGTGTGGTGGTGTGTGTGGTGGTGGTGGTGTGTGGTGGTGGTGTGTGTGGTGGTGGTGTTGTGTGTGGTGGGGGTGGTGTGTGTGGTGGTGGTGTGTGTGTGGTGGTGTGTGTGGTGGTGGTATGTGTGGTGGTGGTGTGTGTGGTGGTCGTGTTTGTGGTGGTGGTGTGTGTGGTGGTGGTGGTGGGGAGCGGTGGTGCAGCGGTTAGCGCGCTGCGCTATGAACCCGGCGACCCGGGTTCGATTCCTGCTCACGGCCAACACCGGTGACGATTATTTGAACCGGTCCTGGGCCTCCTCTAGGTCGACTCGGCCTCAAATGAATACCTGGTGCCGTGTGTAAACATCGCCACTGGGGAGACAAAGGCGGCCGGGCGTGGTGCTGGCCACCCCACCCGCCGTGCCGGCCTTCATAGGGGCTCGCTAACAGCACTTGCCCCAACAGGCTGTGAAGGCTACACGGGGGATCTTTGTCTTTGTGGTGGTGGCCATCAGCAATCGTCGTATTTTTTAGGCTACAGTCTACATTATAGACTGCCAGTACACTCACCCAGCTTAATAACCAGGCTACAGTCTACATTATAGACTGCCAGTACACTCACCCAGCTTAATAACCAGGTTACAGTCTACATTATAGACTGCCAGTACACTCACCCAGCTTAATAACCAGGTTACAGTCTACATTATAGACTGCCAGCACACTCACCCAGCTTAATAACCAGGTTACAGTCTACATTATAGACTGCCAGTACACTCACCCAGCTTAATAACCAGGCTACAGTCTACATTATAGACTGCCAGTACACTCACCCAGCCTAATAACCATTGCTAGTCTACATTATAGACTGCCAGTACACTCACCCAGCTTAATAACCAGGCTACAGTCTACATTATAGACTGCCAGTACACTCACCCAGCTTAATAACCAGGCTAAGGTCTACATTATAGACTGCCAGTACACTCACCAAACTTAATAACCAGGCTACAGTCTACATTATAGACTGCCAGTACACTCACTCAGCTTAATAACCAGGCTACAGTCTACATTATAGACTGCCAGTACACTCACCCAGCTTAATAACCAGGCTACAGTCTACATTATAGACTGCCAGTACACTCACCAAACTTAATAACCAGGCTACAGTCTACATGATAGATTGCCAGTACACTCACCAAACTTAATAACCAGGCTACAGTCTACATGATAGACTGCCAGTACACTCACCCAGCTTAATAACCAGGCTACAGTCTACATGATAGACTGCCAGTACACTCACCCAGCTTAATAACCAGGCTACAGTCTACATTATAGACTGCCAGTACACTCACCCAGCTTAATAACCAGGCTACAGTCTACATTATAGACTGCCAGTACACTCACCAAACGTAATAACAGGCTACAGTCTACATTATAGACTGCCAGTACACTCACTCAGCTTAATAACCAGGCTACAGTCTACATTATAGACTGCCAGTACACTCACCCAGCTTAATAACCAGGCTACAGTCTACATTATAGACTGCCAGTACACTCACCAAACTTAATAACCAGGCTAGTCTACATGATAGACTGCCAGTACACTCACTCAGCTTAATAACCAGGCTACAGTCTACATTATAGACTGCCAGTACACTCACCCAGCTTAATAACCAGGCTACAGTCTACATTATAGACTGCCAGTACACTCACCCAGCTTAATAACCAGGCTACAGTCTACATTATAGACTGCCAGTACACTCACTCAGCTTAATAACCATGCTACAGTCTACATTACAGACTGCTAGTACACTCACTCAGCTTAATAACCAGGCTACAGTCTACATTACAGATTGCCAGTACACTCACCAAATTCAATAACCAGGCTACAGTCTTAAGAACCAGGCTAGAGTATTATTATTTTGTATTATTATTCTATCTACGTGACTTTACCGAAAGAACCAAAGAACAAGCTCTTTGAAAGGGTGGCCCATCTGCACGACGCGTTAAGTTTCGTATCAAATACGGCGGTGCTAACAATGACAGCAACGCTAATTGATGAGGACATTAGTTAGAGAGAGAGTGAGAGTGTTTATTGGTGAGGACGTTAGTTAGAGAGAGAGTGAGTGAGAGTGTGAGAGTGAGTGAGAGTGTTAGTGAGTGAGTTTATTGATTAGGACGTTAGCTAGAGAGAGTGTGAGTGAGTTTATTGATGAGGACGTTAGCTAGAGAGTGAGAGTGTGAGTGAGTGAGTTTATTGGCGAAGACGTTAGCTAGAGAGAGAGTGAGAGTGTGAGTGAGTGAGTTTATTGATGAGGACGTTAGCGAGAGAGTGTGAGTGAGTGAGTTTATTGGTGAGGATGTTAGCTAGAGAGTGTGAGTGAGTTTATTGATGAGGACGTTAGCGAGAGAGTGTGAGTGAGTGAGTTTATTGGTGAGGATGTTAGCTAGAGGGTGTGAGTGAGTTTATTGATGAGGACGTTAGCTAGAGAGAGTGAGTGAGAGTGAGTGAGTTTATTAGTGAGGACGTTAGCTAGAGAGTGTGAGTGAGTTTATTGATGAGGACGTTAGCTAGAGAGTGTGAGTGAGAGTGAGTTTATTGGTGAGGATGTTAGCTAGAGAGTGCGAGTGAGTTTATTGATGAGGACGTTAGCTAGAGAGTGTGAGTGAGAGTGAGTTTATTGATGAGGACGTTAGCTCGAGAGAGTGTGAGTGAGAGTGAGTTTATTGGTGAGGATGTTAGCTAAAGAGAGTGAGTGAGAGTGAGTGAGTTTATTGATGACGTTAGCTAGAAAGAGTGAGTGAGAGTGTGAGTGAGTGAGTTTATTGGTGAGGACGTTAGCGAGAGAGTGAGAGTGTGAGTGAGTGAGTTTATTGGTGAGGATGTTAGCTAGAGAGAGTGAGTGAGAGTGAGTTTATTGGTGAGGACGTTAGCTCGAGAGAGTGAGTGAGAGTGAGTTTATTGGTGAGGATGTTAGCTAAAGAGAGTGAGTGAGAGTGAGTTAGTTTATTGATGACGTTAGCTAGAAAGAGTGAGTGAGAGTGTGAGTGAGTGAGTTTATTGGTGAGGACGTTAGCGAGAGAGTGAGAGTGTGAGTGAGTGAGTTTATTGGTGAGGATGTTAGCTAGAGAGAGTGAGTGAGAGTGAGTGAGTTTATTGATGACGTTAGCTAGAAAGAGTGAGTGAGAGTGTGAGTGAGTGAGTTTATTGGTGAGGACGTTAGCTAGAGAGTGTGAGTGAGAGTGAGTTTATTGATGAGGACGTTAGCTCGAGAGAGTGTGAGTGAGAGTGAGTTTATTGGTGAGGATGTTAGCTAAAGAGAGTGAGTGAGAGTGAGTTTATTGATGACGTTAGCTAGAAAGAGTGAGTGAGAGTGTGAGTGAGTGAGTTTATTGGTGAGGACGTTAGCGAGAGAGTGAGAGTGTGAGTGAGGGAGTTTATTGGTGAGGATGTTAGCTAGAGAGAGTGAGTGAGAGTGAGTTTATTGGTGAGGACGTTAGCTAGAGAGTGTGAGTGAGTGAGTTTATTGGTGAGGACGTTAGCTAGAGAGAGAGTGAGTGTGAGTTTATTGGTGAGGACGTTAGCTAGAGAGAGAGTGAGTGAGTTTATTGATGAGGACGTTAGCTAGAAAGAGTGAGTGAGAGTGTGAGTGGGTGAGTTTATTGATGAGGACGTTAGCTAGAGAGAGAGTGAGTGAAAGTGTGAGTGAGTTTATTGGTGAGGATGTTAGCTAGAGAGTGAGTGAGAGTGTGAGTGAGTGAGTTTATTGGTGAGGACGTTAGCTAGAGAGAGTGAGTGTGAGAGTGAGTTTATTGGTGAGGACGCTAGCTAGAGAGAAAGTGAGTGTGAGTGAGTTTATTGGTGAGGACGTTAGCTAGAGAGAGAGAGTGTGAGTGAGTTTATTGGTGAGGAAGTTAGCTAGAGTGAGAGTGAGTTTATTGATGAGGACGTTAGCTAGAGAGAGTGAGTGAGAGTGTGAGTGAGTTTATTGATGAGGACGTTAGCTAGAGAGAGTGAGTGAGAGTGTGAGTGAGTTTATTGATGAGGACGTTAGCTAGAGAGAGAGAGTGTGAGTTTATTGATGAGGACGTTAGCTAGAGAGAGTGTGAGTGAGTTTATTGGTGAGGATGTTAGCTAAAGAGAGTGAGTGAGAGTGAGTGAGTGAGTTTATTGATGACGTTAGCTAGAAAGAGTGAGTGAGAGTGTGAGTGAGTTTATTGGTGAGGACGTTAGCTAGAGAGAGTGAGTGAGAGTGTGAGAGTGAGTGTGTGCGTGAGTGAGTATATTGATGAGGACGTTAGCTAGAGTGAGAGTGAGTGAGTTTATTGGTGAGGACGTTAGCTAGAGAAAGTGTGAGTGAGAGTGAGTGAGAGTGTTAGTGAGTGACGTTAGCTAGAGAGAGAGTGAGTGTGAGTTTATTGGTGAGGACGTTAGTGAGAGAGAGTGAGTGAGAGTTAGTTTATTGATGACGTTAGCTAGAGAGAGGATGAGTGTGAGAGTGTGAGTGAGTGAGTTTATTGATGACGTTAGCTAGAAAGAGTGAGTGAGAGTGTGTGAGTGAGTTTATTGGTGAGGACGTTAGCTAGAGAAAGTGTGAGTGAGAGTGTGAGAGTGAGTGAGAGTGTGAGTGAGTTTATTGATGACGTTAGCTAGAGAGAGAGAGAGAGTGTGAGTGAGTGAGTTTATTGGTGAGGTTACATGTGAAGCTCACACAGGAAACGAATCGGGGGTCTGGGCTGGTGGGGGGGGGTCGCGGATCCCATCTCCACACGGGACCCCCGGTGCTGACCGGAGGGCCCCCCCAGGGCCCCCCCCCCAACACCCACCGAGTTCATTGTCTGTCGCGTCTCCGGTCGTGAGCTGCTGCTGCTGCCACTCACCTGGAGCCGTGGAGCAGCAGGCGAGCGGCGTGAGGAGCAGGACGAGAAGCAGGGCACGGGCAGCGTCCATCTCCCCAGACCAGAAGCCAAAGCTCTCCTCTACCCCCCCCACACACACAACACAAAGCTCTCTCACTCCCACGCCGCCTCGTTCGTCTGCGCACTTAGCACTGGGCCCTCGTTGATTGTTCACTCCTACATGCACTTCTCATCACACGTTACCGCCTGCCTGCCTGCCTGGCGGTGGTGGTGGTGGTCGTGAGAGTGACTGCGAGTGCTTTGCGTTCCCGTGGGAGGTTGGTTTTCTTGAGTTATTTGCTCAGTCGCTGACCATTGGATGCGCACGGGCTACGTGGCGCGTCACGACTCCCTGCATCAGCAGCCGCTGCTGCTACTGATGCTCCTGCTGCTGCTGCTACTGCTGCTCCTGCTGCTGCTACTGCTACTGATGCTACTGCTGCTGCTGCTACTGCTGCTGCTCCTGCTGCTGCTGCTACTGCTGCTGTTGCTCCTGCTGCTCCTGCTGCTGCTGCTACTGCTGCTGCTCCTGCTGCTCCTGCTGCTGCTCCTGCTGCTGCTGCTACTGCTGCTACTGCTGCTACTGCTGCTCCTGCTGCTGCTGCTACTGCTGTTGCTCCTGCTGCTGCTGCTACTGCTGCTGCTACTACTGCTGCTGCTACTGCTGCTACTGCTGCTCCTGCTGCTGCTACTACTGCTGCTGCTGCTACTACTGCTGCTGCTACTGCTGCTGCTACTGCTGCTCCTGCTGCTGCTACTACTGCTGCTGCTACTACTGCTGCTGCTGCTACTACTGCTGCCCCTGCCGCTGCTGCTCCTGCTGCTGCTGCTCCTGTTGCTCCTGCTGCTCCTCCTGCTGCTACTGCTGCTCCTGCTGCTGCTGCTACTGCTGCTCCTGCTGCTGCTACTGCTGCTCCTGTTGCTGCTACTGCTGCTCCTGCTGCTGCTCCTGCTGCTGCTACTGCTGCTCCTGCTGCTCCTGCTGCTGCTACTGCTGCTACTGCTGCTGCTGCTCCTGCTGCTGCTCCTGCTGCTGCTGCTCCTGCTGCTGCTACTGCTGCTCCTGCTGCTCCTGCTGCTGCTCCTGCTGCTGCTGCTCCTGCTGCTGCTCCTGCTGCTGCTACTGCTGCTCCTGCTGCTGCTCCTGCTGCTGCTGCTCCTGCTGCTGCTATTGCTGCTCCTGCTGCTGCTCCTGCTGCTGCTGCTCCTGCTGCTGCTACTGCTGCTCCTGCTGCTGCTCCTGCTGCTGCTGCTCCTGCTGCTGCTACTGCTGCTGCTGCTACTGCTGCTCCTGCTGCTGCTACTGCTGCTACTGCTGCTGCCCCTGCTGCTGCTACTACTGCTGCTGCTGATGCTCCTGCTGCTGCTACTGCTGCTCCTGCTGCTGCTGCTGCTGCTGCTCCTACTGCTGCTGCTGCTCAACTCTCGGTCGGAGAGTTGCAGCTCAGTCACTGCCACCCACCCCCCTGCCCCCTCTGGCTCTGGCTCTTCTCTCGCGCTCGCAACAACGCAGAGCCAGCGGCTGCACGGGGCCAGTGGCTGTCCGCCAGAGGAGAGAGAGAGAGGGGCAGGGGACAAGGCGCAGAGGCCAAGACCTGCTCGGCAGTCACTTGCTCATCATCATCCTGTCGAGACTGGAACAAGTTTGTTGCACGCAGCTGCTGTTATGCCAAAGCCCCATCGGTGGGAAGGGGGGGGGGCTCGGTAACAACTTTATTTGCGTGTTTCCCCGTCCTATAAACAACAACAATGACGCGTGTTAATGAGCATGTTTTTTTAAAAAAACAGGCACATTTTGAACAATACAATCGTGCTCATTCACTTGCTGAACAGTATACAGAGAGTGAATGATCTAAAATCGGGTGCCAAGAATTGGACCGTATACGCAGCTGGCGCGCTGCAACGCGTCTTGGAGCCGAACCAACATTGCGATGTCTGTCTCGCAGCTCGGTGTGAGACCCACACGTGTGATCTCACCCCCTCCTGCTGCCCAGCATCACACACACACTCACCCACTCCTCCACAGCATCACACACACACACTCTCACCCCCCTCCCCAGCATCACACACACTCTCACCCCCTCCTCCTGCCCAGCATCACACACACACACTCACCCCCTCCTCCCCAGCATCACACACACACACACACTCTCACCCCCTCCTGCCCAGCATCACACACACACACACTCTCATTCCCTCCTGCCCAGCATCACACACACCCCCTCCTCCTCCTCAGCATCACACACACACACTCACCCCCTCCTCCCCAGCATCACACACACACACACACTCACCCCCTCCTCCCCAGCATCACACACACACACTCACCCCCTCCTCCCCAGCATCACACACACACTCTCACCCCCTCCTCCCCAGCATCACACACACTCTCACCCCCCTCCCCAGCATCACACACACACTCACCCCCCTCCCCAGCATCACACACACTCACTCTCACCCCCCTCCTCCACAGCATCACACACACACACTCTCAGCCCCTCCTGCCCAGCATCACACACACACTCACCCCCTCCTGCCCAGCATCACACACACACACTCACCCCCTCCTGCCCAGCATCACACACACACACTCACCCCTCCTGCCCAGCATCACACACACACACTCTCAGCCCCTCCTGCCCAGCATCACACACACACTCTCACACCCTCCTGCCCAGCATCACACACACACACTCTCACCCCCTCCTGCCCAGCATCACACACACACTCTCACACCCTCCTCCTGCCCAGCATCACACACACACACTCTCACCCCCTCCTCCACAGCATCACACACACACACTCACCGACTCCTCCCCAGCATCACACACTCACACTCTCACCCCCTCCTCCCCAGCATCACACACACACACTCCCCTCCTGCCCAGCATCACACACACACACACACTCACCCCCCTCCACAGCATCACACACACACTCACCCCCTCCTCCACAGCATCACTCACACACTCACCCCCTCCTCCCCAGCATCACACACTCTCACACCCTCCTCCCCAGCATCACACACACACTCACCCCCCTCCCCAGCATCACACACACTCACTCTCACCCCCCTCCTCCACAGCATCACACACACACACACTCTCAGCCCCTCCTGCCCAGCATCACACACACACTCACCCCCTCCTGCCCAGCATCACACACACACACTCACCCCCTCCTGCCCAGCATCACACACACACACTCACCCCTCCTGCCCAGCATCACACACACACACTCTCAGCCCCTCCTGCCCAGCATCACACACACACTCTCACACCCTCCTGCCCAGCATCACACACACACACTCTCACCCCCTCCTGCCCAGCATCACACACACACTCTCACACCCTCCTCCTGCCCAGCATCACACACACACACTCTCACCCCCTCCTCCACAGCATCACACACACACACTCACCCACTCCTCCCCAGCATCACACACTCACACTCTCACCCCCTCCTCCCCAGCATCACACACACACACACTCCCCTCCTGCCCAGCATCACACACACACACACTCACCCCCCTCCACAGCATCACACACACACTCACCCCCTCCTCCACAGCATCACTCACACACTCACCCCCTCCTCCCCAGCATCACACACTCTCACACCCTCCTCCCCAGCATCACACACACACTCCCCCCCCTCCCCAGCATCACACACACTCACTCTCACCCCCCTCCTCCACAGCATCACACACACACACTCACCCACTCCTCCCCAGCATCACACACTCACACTCTCACCCCCTCCTCCCCAGCATCACACACACACACTCACCCACTCCTCCCCAGCATCACACACTCACACTCTCACCCCCTCCTCCCCAGCATCACACACACACTCTCACCCCCTCCTCCCCAGCATCACACACACACACACTCCCCTCCTGCCCAGCATCACACACACACACACTCACCCCCCTCCACAGCATCACACACACACTCACCCCCTCCTCCACAGCATCACTCACACACTCACCCCCTCCTCCCCAGCATCACACACTCACTCACCCCCCTCCCCAGCATCACACACACACTCACCCCCCTCCACAGCATCATACATACACACACTCTCACCCCCCTCCTCCACAGCATCACACACTCACTCACCCCCCTCCCCAGCATCACACACACACTCACCCCCCTCCACAGCATCATACACACACTCTCACCCCCCTCCTCCACAGCATCACTCACACACTCACCCCCCTCCACAGCATCACTCACACACTCACCCCCCTCCACAGCATCACACACACACTCACCCCCCTCCACAGCATCATAGACACACTCACCCCCTCCTCCCCAGCATCACACACTCACTCACCCCCCTCCACAGCATCACACACACACTCACCCCCTCCTCCACAGCATCACACACACACTCTCACCCCCCTCCTCCACAGCATCACTCACACACTCTCACTCCCTCCCCAGCATCACACACACACACACTCACCCCCTCCTGCCCAGCATCACACACACACACTCACCCCCTCCTCCTGCCCAGCATCACACACACACACACTCACCCCCTCCTGCCCAGCATCACACACACACACTCACCCCCCTCCCCAGCATCACGCACACACTCACCACCTCCTGCCCAGCATCACACACACACTCTCACCCCCTTCTCCTCCACAGCATCACACACACACTCTCACCCCCTCCTCCCCAGCATCACACACACACTCACCCCCTCCTCCCCAGCATCACACACACACACTCACCCCCTCCTCCTGCCCAGCAGGACACACACACTCACCCCCTCCTGCCCAGCATCACACACACACTCTCACCCCCTCCTCACCAGCATCACACACACACACTCTCACACCCTCCTCCCCAGCATCACACACACACACACCCTCATCCCCAGCATCACACACACACACTCTCACCCCCCCCTCCCCAGCATCACACACACACTCCCCCCCCCCCTCCCCAGCATCACACACACACTCTCACCCCCTCCTGCCCAGCATCACAGCATCACACACACACACTCTCACCCCCTTCTCCTCCACAGCATCACACACACACACTCTCACCCACTCCTCCCCAGCATCACACACACACTCTCACCCCCTCCTCCTGCCCAGCATCACACACACACTCACCTCCTCCTCCACAGCATCACACACACACTCTCACCCCCTCCTGCCCAGCATCACACACACACTCTCACCCCCTCCTCCCCAGCATCACACACACACTCTCACCCCCTCCTCCCCAGCATCACACACACACTCACCTCCTCCTCCACAGCATCACACACACACTCACCCCCCTCCCCAGCATCACACACACA